GGGGGGGGGGGGGGATCGACGAGTCGCAAGTATCGCGGGAATTAACGGGGGCGTAAACTTCAAGCTCGCAATTTTGAGGCAACGAATAATTTTATGGAAGGACACCTCTCCGCTTTTCAGCGCGATATACGTGAGAATTTCTCGCGGGGAGGGAAAACCGATACGTTCGCTCGAATCCCTTTAAGGACCGTCGGAAATTCATCGGCTTCATTTCCCGGAGAAGCGTCCTTCACGTTCGTTATTTCGTTGATCCAATTTCGCTTTACGACGCGGAGAAACGAGTTGGTTACTGCAGGGATCGCAGTATTTTACCGTGCTGATCGATACAAAAAGTTGATGCTGATACGCGCGCTAGATTCGAGTTGCGTGCGCCGATCTCGCAAATGATAGGTAAGAGAGAGAGAGAGAGAGAGAGAGACGCGTGTGCCGCCGCGCGTTTGTGGAAACCCGCATGAAACGGAGGCGCCACACCGTCTGAGCGTAGCGTTCGATAAAACTACGTTATGTTACGTGCGAACGCCGTGTGCGACCCATTATTTTTTTCCTCCCTCCGGCCCCTCGCGCTCTCTTTTTCTCTCTTTCTCTCTCTCTCTCTCGCTTTCATGCCAGATGTTTAAACCGTCACACATTGCGAAGGTCATTAACGAAACTGTGTCACAATACCGCGGCAGCTCCAGTTTGTACAACGAAGCCGGGAAAGCGCATCGCGTGATTCTCGAAAGGGGGTTTCGATATATCACAGAAGGGGGGAATTTCTCCTTACATCATCAACAGAACTCAGATAAGCTTATTTGCGAGCGAGGATCACGGTATGAGAGCAGTGCCGACGGCACGGAGGAATCGGAGGGGGAATTACAGTTACGACAGGATTGTATATTTACATCTTCTCCGGGACAGAAAGTTTTACGGGATTCCCGGGGAAAATGTGAACTCCGATATTAGAGAAGATATATATGTCTCATAAAAGTTTACGACACAGGGGCACAGCCAGTCCTAACGGCCCCCCCCCCCCCAGAAGAGTCTGCCGGAAATTATTTTCAGGTCTGATATCCACGAGATATCGTAAATACGAGCGTACTGCGAATAATATCGCTCGTGTGTCGCTGCACCCCGTCTCTCGTGTCACAATCGTAGGCACGGAGGGGTAACGAGGAGAAAAGGGAAAAGAAATAGGGCCAAGAGAAAAAGAAGGGGAGGAAAAAGAAGAAGGCTACGCAGTATCGTCGATTATTTTAATCGAGCGCGTGGAACGGACGGTTGTCGACCCAGTTCCGCCTAGTTGCGCCTAAAGTCTCTCAGGAACTTTGCATAGGCCGTCATCCGCGACGCGTATACGTATAATCCCACATTCATATCGGGTGAACGCAGCCGGAGAATTACCATTCCGCTTCGTGCTCCCAGTGTACTTCGCTTTAGCCTACTTTAGCCCCGGCGATTTACTCGCTTCGCGCGACGATTTTCCGAGGGAAACCGACTGGCGAGACGCGCTTTCCGCGCGACCCCCGCCTTGCTCGCTCGCTCGTCGGGACGAAACGTTTTCGGGAGAGAACTGAGCCGCGAACTGTCGGACGACGCAATTCGGCTGATCGAGACGAAAATTCCGAGCCTGATTACTTCAATGAGAGACACATTCGATCGCGTTTGATCGGATAATCCGATCGAAAAGTAGCAAACGTCCGATCAAGTATAATGCCCGATCATTTTGTCATTTCATCCGATCGAGCGTGCCTTTATTCGATTAATATCACAACGGGATGTGCAAAGGCCGGCTAATTTACCGTTCGGCTTTCATTTCGGTAACTGTCTCGGCAACGTTATCGAATATTTCAACGGACAAAGATATATCACCATCCGATCCCATCGCCGTGATTCGAGCGGATCGATCGATTCGTCCGATGGGGAATTTTTCCCATCCGTTGAGACGAGAGAGCGATTTCGCGTTTTCGGCGGCCGACAGCCGCCATCTCTGGAGATCAGCCCGCATCATCCTCCCCCGAGGCGCGTCTTCGATGTGACGTCTACTGCGGTAACGCGTGCGGCGCCGTTTCGCCGACGCGCAGCCGCAAGCGGCGAGCCGATCAATGCCCGCGTTCCCCACGCTTCCGCCGGCGCATACTGCACGCGGGCAGAACATGCGCGGGGGTGGACTCGTCCTGCGGTGAAAAGAAGAGAGAGATCCCTCGCGTGGAATTCCGACCGTGGAGGCCGACGCGAATCAGTCCGCGACCCGCCGAGAATTTCACGTCGAGGGTCGCGACGCGTGTTGTACGCTGCGGGGCGAGTTTTGGAAACGTCGCGCTTGGTGTTCGGAAGCTCCACCACCATCCGGTCGCAGTCACCCTCCCTTCGGCGGGCAGCACGGTGAGACTCTCGTCGAGCGACAGTTTCGGCTTACGTAACAGCTGGGGACTTTCACTCGATCGCACCGAGAGAACGTTTGCGGAGAGCCTCGTGACGCGGAGAATCGATAGAATAGGAAGTGCGCGATCGGTGTGCCCGCGATGAGCAACAAGCGCAGCTAGGCGAGGCGACCGATCGAAGCCATCGAGCGAGCGCAAGCTGGCAGGATGCCAAGGCCGGTGCCGGTGGAGAACCTGGTGATACCGCCGCAGGACGGGCGGATCTGCGGCACGATCTGCATCTGCCAGATGACGGCGGTGCTGTCATCGGTGGCGCTGGTCTACCTGACGGTAGCGATCTACATGCCGAGCACCCGGGCCTTCAAGTCGGGCATCAGCGAGGTGCCGGTGATGTGCACGACCATCCGCGCGGTGAACGCCGACAATTGCGAGTGGGGCAGCTGCGGCGAGTGGTGCCTGTCGAAGACCTCCGGGCCCTGCGTGCAGATCCACGTGAACCTACGGAGAAACGGCTCGACGATCCTGCTGGCGAACTGCACAAACACGACGAACAAGACGTGCTACGGCATCGACCAGGAGAACGCGAAGAAGTCGAAGTGCATAGCGGACGAGTGCCGCAACCTGACCGGTACCTTCAACTGCTCCGCTGGCATCTGCATCAACATCACCGACGCGTTCGAGTGCATGTTCCACGACACGGATCCGCCGCTCAAGTGCTCCGGCAGGCGCGGCAAGATCACCTGCATCGACATCGACGGGCTGTTCAACTGCAACCGCGGCACTTGCGAGCGCATCCGAACGCCCTACAACTGCGACCGCAGGTGCGTCGACATCCCGACCAGGAACAAGAACATGATCCTGCTGAGCGGCGACAAGGTCTACCTCAGCCAGTGCGAGCGGGCGATAGACGTGGTGAGCAACAAGGAGATCTGGCACGAGGATCGCGGCGACATCATGATGGCCTCCTGCTACGGCATCTTCAACTCCACCCTGGGCGTGGAGGCGGTGGACTGTATCAACGGCTCCGTCCTCGAGAAGGACCTGCTGACCGACCTGACGAATTTCACCTATCTCTCCTACCTGAATATATTCGCCACGAAGCCGCTGGACGCCGACAGTTTGGTCGCGCCGCCGGAGCAGAGTCTGATAATAGCGAACGAGAGCCGGCTGTTGATCAATCTCGAGGGATGCGTCAACACCCTGCGGGACGAGTGCAAGGAGTTCCTTCACGAATACGGCAAGGACGGGTCCGATCACAACGCGCGCGCCAGGTTTCCGTGTTTCTACGCCGAGAACAACAAGGACGTCGTCGTGTCACGCTTCGACCTCGAAACCACGTACAAGGAGTTCCTGATCGCGCTGCTGCTGCCGAGCATCTTGTTCGTCGTCAGCTGTCTCACTCTGATCTTCTGTCAGAGGACCGTCGTCGTCGGGGACGACGCTAAAATGAGGTTCAAGGGCAAGCCCGGTACGCTGGTCTCGATAGAGAAGAGCGCGTCGGGCAACTTAGGGGATGCTGGCGGAGGAGACTCCGTTATGGCGCTCTGAGATCCGTCACGTAAGAGATGCTTCATGTTGGAACGGGAAATGGCTGTGCTTTCCGAGCCTCCGTCGAGTCAGAGGGCTCTCGGGCTTTTGGATAATTATATCGCCGTTTATTGGCTGCGCTTTCATTCACGTTTCACTCCCGACTCTTTATATCTCGCAGACTGAGGCATCAATTTCTCGCAACCCCGATATCTCGTCGATATAATTATTTAAAACCGGACCTCCTTTCTTTCTCTCATTCTCTCGGCATCAAAGTTCCAAAGTACAACTATTTCGCGATGGTCGCAGTACACACAATGGTTACTATTTATATTATTCAATGACTTCTTTCTTAGTCTGTAAATGTCTCGATTTATAGATTTCTAAGTCACGACGTAAATCGGACTGGAATAACATATGAAAGTCTTGTAATTTTAATAAAACACATTGAATTTAATAAAACGTTTAATAAAATAATTGAAGATAGAAAGTATGTTGAATTACTTCGTCCAATGTTACACTGTTGTCAAGATTTCTCGTTGGTCTTCCAATTACAAAAGAGAGAAACGAAATAACGAGCTTTAAGTATGCGTGTAGAATAATTCGAAATAACAGATATATATTTTTAATATGTGCACCAACACACACACACACACACACACACACACACACATAAAAGTACAAGAATTGAAATAATTTTTCAACGTTAACTCGAAATACATTCGATAGCAAGCGAATGTCAGCGATTTCGTGAAATGCACGGACATTCTGGAAACTAAAAGTTTTATATGATATTAACAGGAATTCGTAAGCACGCATATAGATTCTGCGAAGTGAGATTTTGTCTGCGAGTGAGCTAAAAAGTGTCATTAAACAAAATCGCATGTGTTATTTGCAAATAACGTTAATCTTTCTAGGAACACCAATGTGCCGAAGACGTAATCCTATTTATCGCCTTTATACGCTACGTAGTATTAGTTTTTTTTATTTTTTATTTTTATCATTAGATAGATTGCGTATTTGATCGACGTCACTGAGGGGTCAGTTGAAGTCATCAAGTCAGGTTTCAAAACATATTCCAAGTACAAGCGATCTGTACAAATATTCACTGAATTAACAGAATATATATGCATATATATACAAGGTGAATACTTTAAAAGATATTTCATATTTCGAAAAGTATTAACTTTTCGATTATCTATATATATATATATACAGGTGAACTAAAAATCTGGATATAGTCGAATATCTCGTAAACGATGCAATTTTGAAAAAAAGTGTTTTAGATAAAAGTTGTAGGGTTCAATTTCTTAAATGGAAACTCTGACTTTTTATTGCACATTCTTGTAGCTTATCTCGAGAGTTTTTCAAAATTTATAATAAAATATTTTTACATTAAGTACTTTTCGAATTATAAGGCTTGAAAGCTGCAGTACCGCCAGTATTGTCCCACCAGCCCACTCAAATTTTTGTGTTAATTTAACACGAGGTAGATATGTTAAGAAATGTTACAAATATTATGTCAGAAATTAACACGAAATTAAATACGTTAATTAACATTGAAATATAAAATGTATTATTTTAATATTTACACACGTTGAATATCGATACAACATAAAACGTTGAAATAACATAAACACATTATGTTAAATTAACACACGAGTATGTTAAAAATTTAACAAAGAAATTTGAGCAAGGGTTGATTTTAAGTAGAAAATATTTTTTACTGTGCATTTTAAATATTATTAGACATATATATATATATATATATATATATGTAAAAGGCACATACGTATGTGTATCTTACTTTAGCTATTCTGCAATCTTTCCCCGAGACGTCAGCGTGAACGCGATTCCTGGCTAAAGAATCATAATTATTCTTAACAATGTCGCAATACACAATTGCTTTGGTGTTGTGTGTTGACAGGCATTCCCCTCCTGGAGGAGAGTCCGGCTCGTCAGTCGATATTCTCCCTGCGCGGGCATTACTAAGGTGCGAGGAGGAGGGGAACGCGTGATTAAAATTCTCATCTTGCAATTTAACGAGGCAAAACTGAAACGAATACGAGCAACACATACACACTCTTGCAAAAGTATCGAGAAAGCTAAAGCAAAAAGAGGGGGCGAGCGATTAGACAGCTCGGGGTACACACCGAGGTCAAGAAGAATTTATCTACTCGCACTGCCTGCACCAAAATACTCTCCGGAGCGTACACACGCATGTTTGTGTGGCACACGAGAGGGAAACGATGTCACGGTATCATACGTAACGATTCAGCACGGTTCTCTCGTCGAAGAGGAGACACTGCCGCTCGCGAGAGCGGAGATTTTACGGAAATTCGCCGTCTATCACGCAACGTGACATTCGTAGCTTTTAAGAAGTTCCCCTTTTTCTGATTGATTTGCCGTGACCAATAGCTAGGAGTTTATAATAGTCAGAAAGTGCGCCTTGCCGATGGATGATTGACCGGAGATGAGCTCTCGATAAGTTGCCTACGTAACATCGCGACCACACTCATCGTAAGCGCCGTGTGAGTACAAACAGTCGACGGCCTATTCGAGCTACTCGAAGACCTCCCTCAAGAATAACCTAACGTTCGAAAGCTTGCAGTTCTTCGAGTTAACGTAGCCCTCTATCCGAACGATCCGTTCTGTACGAGTCTGATTCTCGTTTCTCGGAATAATCGTTACTATCGATCGTCCCACTTCGTCATATCACGTCTGGTCCAGTCACGAAGATTCTCCAGTCAGATCGATTCCCCGACAAATCAGTCGTCCTCTTCAAGATCGCAGATCGCTTGGCCGAGATCATTGTTTCGCCGGGCAGAATTCCCCTTCCACTTCCGCTGCAGCCATCACAGACGAGAAAGGATCGAGTGAAGTGACACACAACAGTGGGACGCGTCCTGGGATTAGAGGATTAGATCGGTCGCGAGGACATCGCGGCCGCCGGTATCTTCCGAGAACTTCTGTCGCCAGCAGGACCCTCGTGGTCCACCAACGGCCGCAACTATTGATTCTGACGAGTCGACGGTAATAATGGGGGTGCAGGTGGAGGAGTCGAAAATCGGCGCCATGATAGAGAAGGCGAAGTTCTACACCTCCCTCTGCCTCGGCACCACGGCGATCCTCGCGGTCTTCGGTTTCCTCTTCCTGATCCCATTCGTCGTCGAGCCGGCGATATCCACGATATTGGCGGACTTCTCGCCGCACGCGGTCGCCTGCGTCACGACGGATCACGTTTACGCGGAGGGCCTGAAGAACTGCTCGTGGGCGAGTTGCAGGGAAGGTGAGCTCCATAATCCTCGACACGCCTTTCCCGTCACGCTGCGCCTCCGTATTGTATCAATGCGATCGTTATCGTGTCGTAGGTTGCACCAGTGCGGCGCTTCGTTGCCATCAGATCAGAGTCAACTATACCAAACTGCCGTTCGAGGAGGCGAAGTCGTTGGGCTCGGTGCCATGGGACGTCACCGACACCAAGTTCTTCGTAAACACGGAGGGATGCGGCTACCCGCCGACCGTCAACTGTTCCGCATTCGCGAAGCAGTACAAGAACACGGGGAACATATTTCCCTGTTACTACAGCAGGACATATCCGGAGACGGTTGTCGCGAGGTACGATCTCGACTGAGGCGAGACCTGAATCGCCTCGCAATCGCGTCGTTCTTTACATAGAAACAAACATATCAACCCTTTGTACTCGAGGGCCCCGGAGCGGAGCCATTTAAAATTTCTCTTCAAACTCGAGGGCTCCGCTATGAAGACAATGCAAATAACTTTCAGTTCGTAACATAAAGACAAATCGTAAAAACTATTGTGTATAGGATATTCCGCTCTTGCTATTTGCATTTGAGTTTGAAGAGTTTGAAGACAAATTTTAAATGGCTCCGCTCCGGAGTGCAAAGGGTTAATATCAATTTTTATAAATTGAGAACAATTTAATTTGCAAAAAGAACGACTTCAAGCTGATATAATTCTTAGTTTGAAGATATCGTTCCTTTCGTCCAATATGTTTTCCTCTCAATTCCTGAAAATTATTCTTGAATAACAAAATATGATATTTTAAGGGAGCTGTATAGAATTTTTCATGCATAAGAGAGAGAGAGAGAGAGAGAGAGAGCAGGTTTTATCTTCATATAAGATTATAAGATATCTTTCTTAATATACAAGAGAATATGAGTATTGAATTGATACTAGTTTTTCCCGTTTATAAATACTAATTCACGGATCGCACGACTTGCTTGTGCACGCGTCTAAGTCACTTTCGCGTCATCTGTCTTATCGATTGGAATCCTGAATTCGTCGAGAAATTCGGATTTTCGCGAATATCGCATTGTGATTAGCGTGCTCCGTTGTCCTTTGTCCGCAGATACTCGTGGGATCAGAACCTCAGGCACTTGGTGTTGGCTTTGATCGTGCCCATAGTATTGTTCGCCGTGACAGTCGGCGTACTGTGCTACTGGTATTGTCCGCCGATAGGCAAGACCTGCGGCGGTCCGGGTCGCAATCTCATCGACAAGTATGCTAGAAAGGAAGAGTAAGTGTATGTATGCAGTGGCCCAAGCGCGGCTAGCAGATCCATTGTGTATTCACACGGAATTACTTTGAAGTCGTTCCCTCGACAACCCCTGTTACAAATTAACACGTTCCGTCGGCGATCGGATGCTACGTATTAACAGGAAAAAAAGAAAGAACGGGCACGTATTGGAAGTGCAAATTGATGTTATCGCCCTCGATTTCGCTCCCTTCGCTTCAAATTGTGCGAATCTCGCCAAGTCGAGTCCACCACTCGGACGTGCCTTTAAGCCGCACATTACGCAATTTTCCTTTGGTTTTTCTTTTCAGCACACTTAGGAGTTTTTTCTGTTTATTTTCCTAGGACTCTCTGTTGTCAAAGTAATTCCTCCGTACATCACGCCACCTCTGCGTCCCTTTCTCTTTCCGTGATTCCGTGGCTTTCCGTTCTTGCAGCATCTTGGCAGAGGACGAGTTCGAGGAGGACGAAGAGGAATACTGACTGCTACCGAGGGCACACCCCCCTGCGCGGGAGTGATGCCAGGGAAAAGATCTCCGAATGGCTCCAGCGTGCTTTGCCTTATAAATTTAATAAGCGATCGAGCATTAGCGCTAAGGGAAATCCGCCGCGAGCGGAGTAAACGAGGTGTCTTTGTATTGCCGCTTCTTACCGGGTTCGTTCACTTGGGATTATGCTTGACGCGCGCTCTCTCTCCGACTTCTTTTTGTCTTCTGAATCTGCTCTAAAACGTGCTTTCAATAAATGGAACGTGCGCCTAGGTTTCACGCCACTGACATGAAAAAGAAAAAAAGAAACATTTCTCTTTTCTCATTATCTCTCTTTCTCTATCTATCTATCTTGGTATCTCTTTTTCTCGACATTCCATTGCACTGACATTAACCATACGCACTCAATCGAAATAAAGATGAGGTCGGATCTCAAATGAAGTGAGGAATGAGCGACGGGTCGGGTCGGGAGAATCGCTCGCGCGAGATTTTGCAAAGAGCACACGAAAATTAAATTTACGACGTTAAGTAGGCCGTGAATGATGAGAGCTCGGACTTTTCAATTATCTATCAGTATTTCATGGGAGTTCACGAGGGGTGTGGTTCGAAACACGCGACGACGGGTGAGATCAAGACACGACGATAACGATGGCGACCTCCGCGTGTATGTGTTTCGGACTGAACCGTGATAAAGGCGCGCCTTCCTACCACGTGATAATTTAAGCTGGACGATAGTTTTTAAACGGCACAGATTAGATTTTACAGAGCAGCATCAGGTTTAGACTAGTTACACGGCCGCGAATTTACGAGTTAAGTTACGTAAGCTGCCCCTTCGACGGTCAACGTCGAGACGCGAAATGTCGACGGAAGCAGCGCGAGCTTCCGCGTGAGTCTTGCAGTTCGACGCGCGGCGCAACCCCGTCGGCCCGTCGAGCTCCAAACTCAAAGAAATGGATTCCAATGCGGACTCGTGTCGGACTAACCATGTTACTCGCTGCACTCACTAGCAAACGCGTTTGGCAAAATTCTCGTTTGGAGATTTCACCTCCCCCCCTTTCTCTCCCAAGCCTTCGATTCGAATTACTAATATCGGCGTCTTCTCGTTATTGCCACTTTTTTGAATAGATCAAACCGTGACCATCTGGGTGTGATTTTAGTCCCTTGAAATTGGATAGATATTTCGTCACAAAAGTCACAGGGTGTGAGGTACATTTTTGCGTGATATTTGTTCCCTCTTCTCTCACAAACGCGTGAGTGATAGTTCTAACGGGAATTTGCAAAACTTCACTTCGGTGAAGGTGTTCTCGTAGGAAGATGGAAGAAGTGAAGCGAATGTGACGTGGTTCGCTTTCGAAATCCGCTTCCGCACCAAAAAACGTAGGTTAAGGGTAGGCAGTAAGTTAAGCCTGTGAATATTACCGATCGTAATTCTATCGAAATCGATATATAAGAGTTGTTACGAATTTTTTACGCAGACGCGAGTCACGTCGTGGAGAGAGAGATTCTAATTACACAAAGTATATATATATATATATATATATATATACATAAATTAATGAATATAAATTTATGAATACTTATAATATGTACTATTTATTAATACATAAATAATGCACGTGAACGCTGGCACGCATTGTGCGCATAGTTTATAGCCATAGGTTTTAACGATATGTTTAAGTTGGTTCTTTACGAGGACGCGCGAACTGCGTTCCGTAAGCTACGAAACGACGTCATCCTGCAACTCGCAACTGCAACTCGCATACGCTCGCAAATCGCTCAGCAATAATATCCATTCCGTCAGATATTCCGGCGTTTGTCAGAGTCAAAACTGTGAAACTGTCAGGAGAAAAGAAAGTTAACGTCCACTTCGCTTAGTTCGGTTTTTCATTTGCAGGTTAACTCGTCCCGGCAAAAACACGAAGTAACAGTTAAATAAATGTTAGTTGTAATTTCCTACTTAATAATATAACTGTTGCTTAACGCGTGCGTTATACAACAGTTACATTATTGAGCAGGAAATTACAACTAACATTTATATAACTGTTACTTTGTGTTTGTCGGGGTGATTTGGGCTTAACCTGATGGTAACATAAAAATTATGTTTTTCCATTCATAAATAGAAAAATGCAATTTTTATGTCGTTATCGATTTAAGTTTGAACCGTAAGTCAACTAGAAGATGAAAAACCGGGTCTTAGAGTCATTTTTAACCGTCCGTGTTTTGATTTGTCGTTATTCTCGGATCGGTCCGGACCCAATCCGACTGTTGAACGGAAGTGATTTCTCAGTAACGTTTGTTTCGAAGCGTATGGAAACCATGTCGTAATCCTCCTAACATCTAGTATGGTTGTGAATCCTTACTCGGCCTTACTCTAGGCGTCCTTAAACGTCGGAAGCGCTGCCACGAAGTGGCGAACTCCCGACGGGACCCTGTGTTTTGGCATTCATTCCCCACTCGAAGCTTGCTAGTTCTAATTTGCGTTGAAGTACGACCGCGACGAGTCGCGATCGTCGAACAAATCGCAGATGTCCATCGATTTCATCTCTCCAACCTCGCGTTATCCCGTCGAAATCGATTCGTCGCCGTTCGCATCGGACAAACCGGATTTCGAACGGTGGAGAGCGTTAGATCCGGTTTGATCACAATGCGGGCAGAAACGCGATGTTAGAAAGGAAGATAAGAAGGAGAAAATCAAAATTAGATATCACGTAATTACGAATGAACGTTAATCGATACTCGCACGGAGAAAACAAGTTTCGCTGGAACGGCAAATTGTTTGTTAATATAGCGACGGGAAAAAGTTTTGTCACACGGAAGAAATAATTTTGCTGTCCAATATATCCAGTTAATTAGCGACAAGCGATGGATATATTCTTAAAGAGTCTTTCCGCTGTCCGAGCAAAATTTCACCATTGAAATAAGCTTTTCCTGCCGTCACTGTATCGGCAAGCAATTTGCCGTTCCAGTAAAATCCCTTCAAAGCGTTTCCTCCGTGCGCGACGCCGCTTCGCCGGTCGTCGGATTACAAATCGAGGGACTCCTGCTGCGCCCCCCTTCTCATGCACCTTTTTCGCGAGAATTTTTGCTCAAAACGCTCACAATCGACGAAATCGACGGCGCCAATCAAACGCCCGCGCGCGCGCGTGTATGTGTGCGCGCGTGTGTTACGCTTGCCGCGCTTTTCCGTGCCGCGAGAGAGCCGCGGGTGGTAGTTCGCCGTCGCGGAAATTTTTGCAGCACAACCGGTTAGAATATATTAGATCTCGTGCGCGATATGTAATAATACTATAGAGAGGTAAAACGGAGAAGTCGAGTTTCTCTCTCTTTCTCTTTCTCTCTCTTTCTCTCTCTAGGCAAGGCACACACCAGGGAAACGCGGACAATCCAGAAGCGATAACTCGCGCGTGAAAGCCACAATGTACCGGCATCGTATTGGTTTTAGGGTGCCGATCGAAAGAGAGAATTCATTAGGCTGACCAGCCGGTCGTCGTAGGCAGCATTCTTAGAGCATTTGGCCGCGAGAGAGAAGTTGTTTATATTATATTACATAGAGAACACGCGGGGGATCTCAAGCAGAGATACAGGCCTTCTCTCGCCGGTTTGTGAAACGCACGGAAAACGGCAAGCGAATTGCAGGTACACGGAAGACACTTCCACGCGAAGGAAGCTCGAACCCGGAAGCCGATTCGATCTTTGATCAGAGAGACGAGACGAAAGGAAGGTCCGCCCTGCGAATACCCTGCTTGAGATCCTTCTTTAGATAGGCGAACAAATTCTAGTCCCGATAGTTTGTACTGTACAAAGGTGTAGTGTAGAGTAAACAATTCGAGGCGGACTCTATTTCCGCACGGAAAGAAAAAGTTCGGTTGAACTTGCAATGTAGACGGAGAGGGAACGGACCAGACGCGTTTCGGTCGAAGGGAACAGAAGTGCTTCTGCTTCTTATGATCGAAATTCGGCTCTCGTAAACCAGAAATTCTATGTCCTTCGACCGAAGCTCGCTTGGTTCGTTCACTGTCTGGTAGATTCAACTGAACCTTTTCTCCGCATGCGACGTAGCTACCGTAATACGTCCGATCGCGGAAGAAAGCTGAACGATGGCCGACCTCTCGGCCATTATTTTGTCCATCTCGGCCTACTCGGCTCGACAAACGGACACATTACTCGATAATTAACTTTATATATTGTACACTCTCTCGCAATGATATTTGGCTATTATTGTAATAGTATTCGCACTTACTTCAGCTGAACGTTTATCATGCCGACATCATTTCCCTTTCTCTCTCTTTCTCTCTTTCTTTCTCTCTCTCTCTCTCTCTCCCTCTTTCTCTACCTCCCTTTCTCATCTCGTCTCTCTTTCCTTGTATGTAAATTTTACGATTAACAATATAAACGAGCAACGTACTCTTCGAGACGCTTCCTTTCCCTCTACTCGAAAGTTTTCAATCTCACCGATGGATGTAAGTTCGTCCATCGCTTCTCGTATATATACTCGGTCTCATAAGTATTGTACATAAGATATACATATTATATATAAACCGTGCTCGCGCACGTTCCGCGAAACAGACAGACTATTGTAAATAAAAGAGATTTCGTTTGAAATATATAAAAATACGTTTTCTGTTAACAACGCGTGTATCGTTCTTCCAGTTCACCGTCGCCCGCCCAACACATTTCCCTGTTTATTTTCGCTTTAAATAATAGCCGTTATTTTCCTCAATAATGAATCCGTTTAAATTCTAAATATGTGCAAGTACGCTTAAAGTGTGCGTTACACGGAGAAGAATAATTTTCTGGCAGTTTTATGCTGTCACAGTAAAATCTGTCAGTTATGTGGACAGCAAAACGCTTTATTAAGAGTTCTAATTGCTATTCGCTAGATTATTTTGCTGACTCTACAAATTATTTCGCTATAAGAACTAATTAGTAAATGCAGAAAAACACTATTTTGTTTCAACAGTAAATTAACGTGTTCTAAGGACAAATTTACTCGGCAGAATATTTTCTATACTGACAACAAAACTGTTTCTGCTCTAATTACGAAGAATTTACTAATTTCGTTATGCCAACTAAATTTTATCGCCGTCGCAACGAATATGCAGTACACAGAAAGAAAATTTTGTGTTGAAAACGGTTCAGTGAAATTTTTTTAATCATTTTAATAAGATGAATATGTTAAAAACTTTTATACTTGAATAAAATGAATATGTTAATTTAACGTATATTTGTGTACTTTTTCACGTACTCATGTTAAAATAATATCAACATTTCAGTGAACCGTTTTTAACACAAAATTGTTTACTGTGTAACAACGATGGTTTCGTTACGACAGCAAAATAATTTTTTTTCTCTGTATATATATATTTCAATAGTTCATACCTTATTTTGCCCTCTGTATTTTGCGAGAAGAAAGTTACGAATATTTTTTAGAAAAAAATAAAACAGAAAGAGGCAATCTCGAATCGTGCTACAAATCGCAGCCGCGACATCACGTTGACGACTCTTCGCACGTCAATTGCACGAACTCTACATAGCACTAAACAAAGACATTTGACCTTTTGCGTCGAAGGTCGCGGAAAATGTTAATGCAACGGGAATAACACTCCACCCTACTGGGTTGATATCGAGGGGATTAATCTAAATCGATAAGACGGCCCGACTGACTTTGTCTTTCATGGAGCAGCGCATTTATAATTTACATGTTATGATGAACAGTTTCACGCACTTCATAACGCAAGCTCTCGTTTATGTGTGTCTCGTTACGTGTTTCGCCTGACATTTCCAACGATGCAATTACAACGACAACGGGACAATTCCAAATGAAAATTGTTACATCTGTTCTCAATCACGTGATACAAGCGCAAACAGCTGAAATTGAATAATAAATATCAAACCTGTCGTTGCGACAAATGAAAATAATATTTTCCTCTCATACCGAAGGCAGGAACTTACGTAACTTCAGCGGAATAGAAATGACCGTGTAGCGCAACCGCGAAATAATGTCCGTGAATTTTATTATATGCAAGTTCAATTGTTTTATGGCATTTAATGCTCTCAAAATAAAGATATTTTAACAGAAATTATATGTAGGATAATTTCAAACTGTTTTTCAGCATTGTAATAAAAATAAGCGAAGAGTTAAAATAACACCGGGTAGTACAATCGTGAATATTATCTGAATAATGCAAAAAAGAGAAAATATAACGCACATATGAAAAAATAAACCGGGTCTCTCTCTCGACCCGATCGTTCGAGGGTCGATGTTTGTTATTGAGGGCGGAAAGGAAAGAATTCACAGTAAAAAATTTTGTTTTAAAAATGGTCCACTGAAATCTTGTGTTATTTTAACATTGGGAATGTGTTAGAATGCACACAAATAACGTGTTAATAAGATGAATAATCTGCTAATTTAATATTATATTTGTGTACTTTTAACACACAGATAAAGTTGCGCTGCTTATATTAAGAAAGAAAAAAAACTAATTGGGTTTCTCAGTGCATGTACTTTCCCCCCGTGTTAAAGTAACACCAAATTTCAGCGGACCGTTCTTGACGGGAAACTTTTCACTGTGCGGGAATTAAGAAAGACGGGCTTGACAAGTGAAGATCGTCAGTTTTCGTTAGTTCTCCGCTATAATAGAGCGGCGCGCGCGCGCGTTCACATTCCAGAAGTTTCGCGACATACACACACCCTCGCCCCACCACCGAGGGTGCGACGAAACTTATATAAACCCGCGGGTCGACGTTTCACTCGGGGCATTTCACCATGAAAGGGAATCCCACCCCCCCATGGCGAGAGCGCGCGGGTATACCACTCCGCGCAAACTCCGTGCGGGGGAACTCGCACCACCGACTGGCAGGCAGGCTTGTTTTCAAACAGTCGTCGGGGTTGGTTAGTTGCACGGCCACCTCGCGTGTGTTTGCGCTCGCGATTCTCCTTCACGGGATGAAAAGATCACGGCGCGACGATAACCCTGCGGCCCGCGGACAGAAACGATCGTGAGGTCGTCGCTCGGCGATCGATGATCCAATGAGGTGAGACCGGCCGCACCACCGATCGCGCGGTCGATCCCCGCGGACGAAATGATACCGTTGATCGTTCTCGACTGAGCGTGGTTCTGCGAGTACGTCGTTCACAGTGCGCCGAGGTGTGAATTTCGCGCGCGAGAAAAGTGAAATGGAGAGACGATGGTGAGACCGGCGAACGGAGAGAATATCCAAGAGCCCCGGTCTCTTGAATTCTCGTCCGAATGAGACCCGGGGGATTTATCGCCGGCGAAATTGCCGAACGGAGAATTTCCTTCGCGAGACTTCTCCTTGGAGCTCGATAAAAGCGCAAACACCCAGCCTTCGTTCATTTCGCACGAGAGAAATCCGCATCATCCGCAAAAGTGAGAAATTGCCGGGCTTCTGCGAGAAGATCGTCGTTTTTTCGGAAGAGCGATAGATATTGTCGATATTAGCTATCGATATCGATCGCTCGACATCGGGATCGCGCGAAGATACATATACATTTTCCGTTCCGGGGAATATCAGGAATAGTCGAAAACGAGTGATACGCTCGGCAAGCTCGGCCGGGAAAGCGGCTTTGATTTTATCGGGCGCGCACGACCGGCGGAAGTCCGTTCGCGTTAAGTCGGCCGACGAGAGTATCGTAAAGCGTTATAGATCCCGCTGCATTTCCGAGCGGCTCTTCCCGAAGAGAGTTTCTTCGCGCTGTTTCCGAAATAACGAGCGAAAAGTCGTCGGTTCCTGCCGATCGGGCGGTTTCTCGGTTCGAAAAGAGACGGAAGGATTTCGCAGACGAATATCGCGATAAGAGGAAGGACGAGGGTTCGGACGAGGGTATGTACGCTATTTATCACCCTTCCCAGAATATGACGGACACGGCTAAGTAGAATGTACATGGAAAAACGACGTTCCGAGAACGCGAATCCCAAAGGCATTATCGGCAAGATAATCGCTCGGCTCAAGGTTATCCGCAAGTGGAACAACCATTAGAGACGTCATCGTACTATCGTGGGTGTCCTCCGGAAGAGTGCCTCTCTTTCCCTCTCTCTCTCTCTCTATCTATCTTTATTTCTCGCTCTCCCTTTCTTTCTCTCTCTCTGTTACACATCGAGGGAGATCGATTCTCTCTCTCTCTCTCTCTATGTGGAATAACGCAGCGGCGTACCGCCACTTTCACTTTCGCGTATAAATAATAACGGTGACGTCGCGGCGAGCACGCGGCGGGAAATGTTGCGTAATAAGCCGCTTGCCCGGTGAGGTCCGCCAAAGACGACGGGAACCGACGAGAGAGACATACACCCCTCCGGCGGCGCGGTTCCAAGGGCGCGGGCGAGAAACGTCATTCTTTGTAACGGAAATCCGTGATACGTCAACGACGAAGTACCGGCGACGATGTAAAGAACGGTGCGAATGAAATTTTAACGATGTCACTTTCGCGGTGATGGTAACGCAGAAATCCGAGGATCGATAGCGCCTCTCTCTCCTCTTTCTCTCTCTCTTTCTCTTTCTCTCTGTTTCTCCTTTTTTTTTTCTTTTTTAAACGGTCGTTAAACGCCCGCACGACGGTGTCGCGGTAATGGGATTACCGGCATCTAATTCCATGCTATCCTATATAGAGCACCTGCTCGCAAACTACGAGGCTAATGACGTTAACACGTGGTAATTGCCCTAAGTGCATCGGGCAGATGCGCGTCTAAGGCAAAAGAAGAGCGAGGGAGGGTCCTCTACGCGCTTTATCGACGAACAGCGGCCGACCGCCGTCGCCACGGGGATGAATCGTAAAGTGAGTCACTGTGTGTAATCGAAACGGAAAGAGAAGAAAGGAGAAATGGAGCGATCATTCGCGACTCAGCGGATCCGCGAGTCACGCGTCGTCCAACGGGACACGCGAGACTGATGAGTCACCAGCGGCGATCTCAGGGCGAATCCTTCAGCGCTGGGAGAACCGTCGACGTCGACGAAATTGATTAACTCGCGAGAAGAAGGGAAGTTGTTGCGGAGGGAAGCCGTAAGCCGAGTTCGCATCCAAGTCGGATCGATTGCTAATTCTTTTCCCTCTCTCTTCCCGCCTCTCTGTCTCCCCCTTCCTCCGCCATCTCTGGTAATTGAGTGTCATCGTACACTCGGACTCGAGTTTCAGGACAAAGTGATAAACTCGCCGGCCGGGGGATCATCTCGTCGACGCTCGAAACGGCGTGATGATCGTGCGTCACGACGCGTGTTCGTGCCCATAAGAAGATAGCTATAAAGCGAGCGAACGAGAGAGAGGGAGAGAGAGAGAGAGAGAGCGCTTGATCGATGAGACTCGCGACACACATATACACGCACTTCATCGGCACACTTGGGTGAACTTTCACTTGCCTTACAACGAAAGTAGCGCACCGATCGCGCGAGAACCGGGGGAGGATTCGAAACATTTCGCGGAATATTTGCCGGTGCGCGCTTGCGGCTGAATGTTTGAAAAGGCGACAATCGAAATGTCACGAACAATCGTTCGTTAACGCCAAACTAATCCATTGATCTCCGCCGCGGTTTCTGTCGCCCCGTGGTGAGACGGTGGTTGAACCCCCGCCAAGTTCGCTGCAGCCATTCACCCTGCGAAAGGTAATGAAACGCCGACATGAGGCCGCCTTTCACGCCATGTGTTCAGAGAGAACGCGGATTTAATACACGCGACGTCATTTCTTATATTTTTATGAGAACCGGATCGAGGAGAGGATCAATTCACGGACGCTGCTTCCGATGAGACGGCACAAAAGCGCTCGCGGAAACTCGCAGCAAGTTGCGAGATCGCTCGACAAGCTCGTGACTCTCTCTCTCTCTCTCTCTCTCTCTCGTAATTGATATCGTCGGAATCGCACCTCTTTGAACTCCAAGGCTGGCTGAGCGTAAAAATTCGCCTAAGTTGAACCGGTGTCTAAGGGAGGATTTGAAGAGGAAGCGGGTGTTGGGATCCAAAAAGATAGATTTGCAAAGTGTCGCGCGATGGGCCGAAGACAAAGGCGCCGTATGGTACCGAAACAGGATCGCAGAATTTGTGCGTGTATATTCCTTTGTCAGTTCACCCTCGTCATCAGTTCCGTGGCCTTGATTTATCTTAGCGTGGCGATTTACACTCCGTCGCACAGGTAAGGGACAATAGTACAGTGAGAAAAGGATTCTTCTTTGGATTTGATAACATTTCTTTGACTGAAACGAATTTGTCCTTCGGGATGGAGCAAATAAACGGACATTTCACTCAACAAGTAGGGCCGTTTGATTTCTCAAACGATATATATCTTCACGTCAAACAACATATTTCTTTTGTATTTTCATCTAAATATTATAATGATTGTCACAAACAATAAACTATTAAGAAGAAGTAATATTATGTTAGAAAAATATTTAAAAACTTCTTTGTTTCAGTGGAACGATACTTAATACGTACAATGAAATCAGATTCTTTTGGATTAAAGACCAAATATTATTTCCTTCAAATGATACTGTTTTTTCTAACAAACAACATAGTTTATTCTAGCGGAACAATAACATATTCATTCAAACAAAGTGATATTTGATATTAAATTATATTGTTTATATCAAACAAGTTTAATCCTCTGAATGGCAGCCAGGGTAATTTGTGTCCGCGCCATTGTAAGAAGTGCTCGTATTTAATAAAATTCTAAATAAAATCGTCAAAAATAAAATACTTAATAATTTATTGTTGACAATACAGCTGTGGTCTTCAAGTAGAAGGATAAAAAAGCTCCGATTATTTTTGAAGACCTCTTCGAGCGATTGAAGAGGGGGAAAATCGAGAAAGACACAAGTGATCCTGGTTGTCGTTCCGAAAATAATGAAAATACATTGTCACTCGTTAAGTTAAACAAACATGTGTACTAAATCATAGTGTACTAAATCATACATGTATACTAAATTAATACATGTATTCTAAATTCGAAGAAACCTTTTTCTCTGTGTAGTGCGTTAATATCACAATCTATTAATAGTTGATCGAAAAAGTTCAGTTTGACTTCCGTCTTCTATTCCGGTCCATCAAATGTATTTTCTCGCAAGAAAAAACGTTCAACAAACGAAGAAATAATTCAAAAGAATAGAAAAAAAAAGAGAAGAGGAGAACGTTATTCAAGCTCAAACCGAGCATATTAAAGACGAAATTAAAAAAAAAAAAAAAGAAACGCTCCCGCCGCTTTTCTTTTTCTTTATTATTCGAAATAAACGAAGGCGTGCTAACCACGCCGGCGCAACTAATTTCAGGGCTTTCCGCGCCGGTATCGAACCGGAACCGGTGATGTGCCAAACCGTTAACTCCACGATGGTGAACAATTGCGGGTGGGCGAGCTGCGGCGAGTGGTGCTTGACCAAAACCAGCGGCTTGTGCAACCAGATTCACGCGACCGTCAGACGTAACGGCACCGACGTGGTTTTCGAGAATTGCACCAAGTTCAGCACGATCGCGTGCCCTCAGGTGCGTACAGGTGACGTCGTCAACTGTTCCGCCGTGGCTTTCGCCCGGCGAAATGCAATGTAATTTAAATACGAGACGCAAATTGCGAAAATATACGAGACGGTACGTCTTATAACGAAAAGTTACGAGTCACTCGTGCGCAAAGAGAGAGAGAGAGAGAGGAGGGCAGCTACAAAGTGTCTTTAAGAAACTTTTCCCCGACGACTCGAAAGTTTTCATTACGCTTTTAATTAAAGCCGCGAGCAAATTCAGCCGATTCTCTCGTGCGCAGATTAGAAACGTTTACCGTACGAAAGCCAACGTCGTATCTCGGAATACCGCGCCCGCGATACTCTCACGTTGCACGAAACACGCAATCTACAGAGGAATTCTCGACGAATCTCTTCCTCGGGAAGATAATAACGGGTATTGCCTGTATATTCGGCTGTCTGCCGTAATCTCTAAGAGTTATTTTTCTACTCGGCAAAGTACGAACGTTCCTCCCTCCTCCCTCTCTCCTTCTCTTTCTCCCCCTTTCTCGGAAGGGGCGCATATGGCACCCTCGTACGTTTGCTGTTCGGATTCCCATCACTTTATTCTATGCCACATCTCGAACCAACTGCGATCGTATAAGCTCAGTGTACATACCAACCTCTCTCTATCTCTCTCTTTCTCTCTCTCTCTCTCTCGCTATTTCTCTGCGGGTTTCCATCTCGTGAGAATATTACGGTTTTATCGAAAGTGGTAGGCTTCCAATTTCTTCTCCGTGCCGCTGGCCTCGATATGTCGGGGGAGATTGCGCGTAAAAATTTAAATTACCGTTCAAAGCGTTCCTTCAAATAGCATGTAACGACGCTCGCGGTATTACTGAGGGATTGCTTTATTATTAATAAAATTCCTCGAATTCGTCGCGGTGCGCGAAACGGCAGCTCTACATGTAATCGGAACTACTACCCCCTGAGAAGGATCAATTTCTCGTCTTTAACTTTATGTTCACAGTAGCATCGACTCCATGCATCCGATGCATCATTAAAATATAACGTCGACATTATACCGGTAGCCTCGATGAAATTGTGAGAGGGAAAGTAATAATGTATAAAGTAACTGTTTTGTAATCCCCGGGTGGTTTCAAAGTAGACATTTACCCAAGCGGTGTCGTACGTCCACAGTCGGGATGAAAATAAAAAGCGCGCGATATCGCGACGCGCAAGAGCGAATCGTACAAACTGTCGCGGAAAGAAATTTTTACATTCCTCTTCTTTTGCCGAAACGGCAAAAGTCGCGCCTCGGTTTCCATCTTTCACCTTGCCCTTGAATTTCTACCCTCCATACCTCTCGTATCCTCGTCTCCTCTATGTAACGGTCCATCAACCAAGGGACATCCATTATGGTCAACATGATGCTTTCAGTCTACGAGAGGGAGAAAGGGGGTGGGGAGGGAGGAAGGGTAAACTCCTCGCGATATCGACCAAGAAAACACGCTTGTCAAACGCACTGCGTACGAGTATCGCGCCGCATCGCAACGTCGTTTGCAAAAGAGAAGCTTCATAAAGGGCTCTCTTGTCAGTGCGCGACTTGCACGGGCGATATCACTTACTTTCACCGCTATTAAATGCAATTACTTAGCGAATTTGATCCGCTATGGAAGCGCGCTATTAAAAGCAGTCATTAATGGTGGCAGGATGCGGAGGTGCGAGCGATACGACGTGGAATTTTTGTCATCCTAACGGTGATGCGTTGTCACGAGCAACCCGCCAGTTTTGCTAAAATTAGCGATTGCATTTTCGCGAGATTTAACGAAAAATTAAATCACAATGAAAAAGTGTAACATATAACGTGGATGTTAATTGTTACTTTTATAAAATACGATTTGCAAAGAGTTATCACGAAAGGCGGTTAGAAATGGCCGGTATACTTGATCGCCTAATCAAACGTCAGGCGAACGGGTTGGTAACGGCTTATCCTCGAGGGAGTGTCCCGCGAACATATGAATATTTAGACACGTGGCGTCATTCTGTGTGCTCGGCCGCTAATGCCTTGCTGGCAAGCCCGAAACTACCCGAAAGGAGTTATTTAATTAATGATGTTGACGGAATATGAAAAGTGTAACGAGGCGCACGTGTGTGCGGTGGAGGCCTTTATGGCCGCATTGGTAGTGTCGGGCGAGCTTCTATAAACAGCAAAGTGGTAATTTTCCTAATTACATAGCGCGTTATCTTTGCAGAGTGTTCGAACACTTCTATTAAAACGGTAATTTCACTACTGAATTAAGCATGTACATAAAGTGTATAAGAGCAAAAAAGGAAAGTGAATATAGTAATTAACCTTCCTTGTGCTATTGCACAAGAGAAGATTAATGTTAGCGTGTTGCGTAAAAAGAAATAAAATGTTCACGTAATAAATAAAAAATGAAAGAAATCCGGTAATTGAGTATCATAAAACCGTAAGAAGAATCTCGGTCACCCTCTTCGACCGAAATTAGTTTAACATTTTTTAATTTCTATTTTTAATTTGTTCTGTGGGCCTACTTTCCACCAAAAAGCAGAACTCCCACTTTAATATATAAACTCACAATACACTTTTATGTTAGCACAAATAAAACTTTATTCTTCGCCATTAACAGTTTATGTGTCTCTAACAACCGTTGTTTTTTAATCGTCTCTTCTTTTTTTATCGCATGGCCCTCTCGTAGGCAAGCGGCTAAATTGGCCGGTAATCTAGGATGCCTGTATTGGCAACGGAACAGTATTGATAATGAGGCCTACAGTTCTAAATCACATTTAAGATTTTTATGAAAAACTACTGCGATATTAAGAACTAATATAGAAACATCATACACAAGTTTCGGAATTACTAACCATTTTCTGAAAATGTCGGCAGTGTCGAGTTCATAACTTATAGTAATACTCGAAAAATATATACATATATATATATATATATATTTAAATACTTATATACTTCTTTCTATTATTTATGCATCTTTATTAGATCAACTAATGCATAAAAACAGCATTAATAAAAAAAATTTAATTTTCGTAGTTGTAATATATATATATATTAACTTTCAAATTAACATTTATTATTCATTATATATTATTTATTATTTAAGTTAATAAATGTATAGAAACGAAAATTTTGCTCGATAAACATTAAATTTTTGAGTGGCCCTATTGATGCACCACTGAAAATATAATACTGTGATACAACTGCCTTAATATTGTACAGCTTACAACGATCTGACGCTCGTGTTAAATTTTCTAATTGAGGGCGGGAGATTCAGTAAGGAATATTCAAAGCGTTAAACGCATCGGCAGGTGAACATGGGCAGCATGAAAAAGTACAACTGCAACAACGGCAGCGAGTGCGGCATGTTGTCGGGCGTGTTCAACTGCAGCCTTGGCCATTGCGCTAACATGAGCGAGCTGATGCTTTGCCACCACAAGGCCGACGGTATCATCGTCGACAGCGAGAAGGACAATATGAAGCTTAACGGCTACTTCAGCTGTCAGAATTCTCGGTGTACGAAAATCAAAAGCGCCTTCACGTGTGATCGATACTGCCCGAACATCACCACCGGCGAGATCAACGTGTACCTCATGCAGGACGATAACGTCATTTCCGCCAGGTGCTCTCGAGGGATGGCCCGGAACAGGGCGAACGGCAGCTTGCCTGGTACCAGGCTGGACGAGCCCGTCAAAATCTGGGATGATCAGAACGGTAGCATTGTCGCGAGCTGTTATAACGTCAAGCAGGATGGCGACGTCATCAGGTAATAACGAATGGTAATATAGTAAAATTTTGTTATGTCAAATTCTTCCTGCTCATCGAATTTATTGCAAATTCTATTACGCCAGAATTTTCCGCACGGTTATAATCATATTTGCTGAGGTAACATATACAGGATGTCCCAAACATTTCTCGGTTGTCGTGGTGTGCAAGTAAAATGGAACTGAGCAGAAAAGTTATTATGTACCATTTTGCAAAATTAGCAATAATTGATACGAAATTAATTATTTTATCTGAACTAATAAGCACACAGGAAGCAGTAGCGATCAGACTGTATATAAAGGAAAATAGCTTATTTCTGAAGATCCCTTAACAACGATGAGCATCAACTAATTTTTAAAGGCAGAGCTTAGCAGAGCGAACAGAGAACGGCATGTGACACAAGACTGTGCCCCGAAAAGAAACACACCTCTCGCTATTAATTGATACTCATCGTTGCTAGGAGAACTTCAGAAGTAAGCGCCCATTAGCTTATACAGATCAATTAATTCCTTATTAACTATTGCGAATTTTGCAAAATAGTACATGGCTTTTTTGTTCAATTTCATCCTTTCTACTTGCACATCACGGGAGAGATGTTTTGGACACCTTGTATAATAAAATCGATATTTATATATTATCGTATGACTTTATAATTATTTATAATGTTTATATAATTATGCTGTTAATAATTACAGACTACATAAACAATTTTTATACTAATTTTCAGAATATTAATTAAATTTTAATATTAGTTCGAGAGAATAAAAGAAACAAAGGCTCCCAGAATTTACAATTTAATTGAAAATCAAAAGTCAATGAGTTCATGCGCGCTTATTATGTAACGATGTAACATTCAAAATATAGGTTATATTGATGTCGGTCGACTAAATAAATTGGTGACCAAGTATTTCGATCCCTATTTCGGCCTTTTAACGATGGTAATGTCGGCGGTACTGCAACTTTCAAGCCTTATAACTCGAAAAGTTCTTAATGTAAAAACATTTTATTATAGTATTTTGAAAAACTCTCGAGGTAAGCTACAAAAATATGCAACAAAAAGTAGGAGTTTCCATTTAAGAAATTAAAGGTGACCTTCATGTGACCTTCAAAGGACTATCAAAGGTCAAACCAATGACGCCATCTTATGCATCCCTTGAAATCAAACAACTTTTGTATGAAATATTATTCTGTAAAATGCTTTATTTCTGAGATATATGTTTGTCACAACTCACCCTGTATATATATATTTACGGGAACATTACATTATTTTGGAAGGTGCGATCTTTCATTCGCACGTCGTCCTCGACTTATTCCGTTTGAGAAATTGAAACGTTATCGAACCATCGAAAAGTAAAGGCGAGCAAGCGTGAGGACGAACGAGAAGAAGGCACAGATATTAGGGTGAATCACAGACCCAGCCGCGGGATCAATGGTTGCTATGGAAATACCCTGCAAGATTATCTAAGAAAACGTGTATCGTGAAAAATGACATGTCGTCCTTGCGATATCAAGGGGCAATTGGCACAGATCATATAGCCCAACAGTACAATTAGCTCCCTCTCATACTCAAGAGCCACTTTCAATCTGTTCTCTTCAATCCGAACGTAAAGCTCCGAGCTTCTCCGCGAAGAAAATATATGGAAATTACATTACTAAGTAAAATCTACGTAATAAAAGCGTGATCGACATAACTTTTAAGCTATTTATTACAAAAAATATTAAAAAATTACATATGTAGTATTCAATCGGTATTATATTAATCGTTTTTATATTAATCAGTCGTCCGATCACTGTGACTAATGACTGTGACGGGCAGTCTAATATTTCGATGTTACTTTCTTCCTTCCATTGACAGCAAAGATGACTCCGATATTTTAGGTTCGTTGTCCTCTTGAAAAATCCAGTCTTGACTTTTGATTTTAAACTCTACAACTTTTATTCGAAACACTTTTCTGTAAAATTTATATATTTTTCGAGATTTTTCAGGGTTTCTATACTTCTTCCTCACCCTGTATATAATAAAATTGATTCGTTATTATATCTTCCTCGTATCGTCCTTGTTATTTCCATCGAAATTTATAAATTATAAACTCGCAAATTATCAACGAGCAATGAGAATACTCGCGTTTACATCGGCCCGCTTGCTTGTTTGCATCCACAGCACGGAGGATTGTGTGAATGGCACCTTGGTGGGCAACATCCAGGTTCCGCAACCGTTCATTAACTTCACGAGCTTCCTGAAAATCTACGAGAAGAGCTTACGGTATCCGGTGGATCCTACGAACGCCTATGTCCCGGCACAACAGTCGCTGACGATCTACAACAGTTCGCGACTCTACATTAATCTGGAGCGCTGCGTCAACACTTTGAGGGGCGAATGCAAGCAATTTCACCTCACCCACGGTCGCGACGGTGACAATCAGACCGCACAGAGCAGATATCCCTGCTATTACAACAAGGTAAGGGGATTTGCAAAGTTCCCGTTGGAAAGTCTGTCCGATGCGTGAAAATTTTTCAAATTTGTCATCCTGAGATTCCCTTTTCATAGTCCTTACGTTATATTTTCCAAGCCATTTGGAGGAATAATCTGCCGTTGCAGCGAAACCATCGGTGCTACTGCATATCCGTTGCAACAGCAATGAAATTTAATCGGCACAATCAAATTAACGGATTATTATTATTATTCGTAATCAGAGCGGAAAAGTTTTCTCGTCAGGATAAAAAATATTCTGCCGAATGAATTTGTCCTTAGGTCACATTGATTTGCTGTTAAAACAAAATAGTATTTTCCTACATTTACTAATTTCTTCTTATAGCAAAACAATTTGCAGATCCAGCAAAATAATTCAGCAAAAATGGCGATCAGTATTCTTAGCAAATCGCTTTGCCGTCCGTGCAATAATAACTGGCGGATTTATTGCGGCAGCATAAATACTTGCCCCGCCGGTGAATTATTTTCCTTCGCGCCGGCGAAATTACCGCTGGCTTAATTGTTACTGATATCGCTGCCCGTCCATTCTTCGCGTAATTATAATTTACGTGGGCACGTATTATTCAGAACAACTCGTTGTTCGTGGTGGCTCGCTTCGACCTGAGGAAGACGAGGACGGAGCTGTTGATCGCCGTGATCCTGCCGTCCGCGCTCTTCCTCATCAGCCTGATCAGCCTAATCATCATCAGTCAATCGGTGCGGGTGGGAGACGACACGAGGATGCGATGCAGGTATTGCGACAGCAAGCAGGAGGTCGAGGTTGAGGACGAGGGTCTGGTGGAGGCGACGTCGTCCACTCAGAGTCAAACCAACGAGAACGAGATCCGGAATTTGGCCCTTTAGCAGTACAAGCCGCTTGGGTTGGGCGGCACACTCGGTTACGAGAGGCTGCCGTTGATCGATGTCGACGACGCCGAGGATTCCTTCTAGGAAGTGCACGATCTCTCGGCCTCTCAGAGCGTCGTCGCGATCCCGAGCGTTTCCGGACGGAAAACCAGCTCGGAAAGTCACGCGACGCTCGAACGCAGGTCGACACGCATCCGAGTTAACGCGTATATCGGCGAAGCCGAATTTACAGACGGACATTAACCGGTCGTCTTCCGGGATGAGGTGTGTATCTTTATTAACTCTTCTCTTCTCGCCCACGACGCACCGTCGTCGTCAGGTGCGTACGATAACGAATTCGTCGGTTGATCTCTGCCGGCGAGACTCTCATCGAAAGTAAAACCCGGTCGGGGTAAAAAGCCTTTTTACACGTGTATCAGCAGCCGAGCATGAGAACTGATATTTATACGCCGATATTCTCACCTTCGTTGCCTTCGATGTATCGCTAGCACGTTTGTTTGTTTGCGCGCGCGCGACGACGACGACGAACGAATGATCGGTCACACCGTCAATTGGTTGACGGCGTCGAGAGATGTTTTTCTCCAGATTAACGTTAAGGGCACTTTCGTCTAGAGTGTATATGTGATGTGAAAGTATGTAATGGAGCTCGTTTAATGCCGCCGTGTTCCAACGAAAAAAGAATAGCCTTTACACACCGATGAAAATCAGGTGGCATTGAACGATCGTTCTCGCGCGATATGCGCGCGTGTGATCGCGCGCGAGTGAAACGAGAGAGAGGGGGGAGGGGGGAGATGTTTAACCGACGGAAAACAGAGGGATATATAACAGAGATACGAACGAACGAAAGCCGAGGGATCCGTTACGGAGCATTTCCCGACGTTTTTTTCTACGTGTGCTACCACGATAGTATCTGCGCGAGACGCGCACACGCATAAAGAGCAACAAGCAAGAGAAAAAAACGTGCGAGAACGAGCTTTCTTCGACATACAAAGTAGATAGCGGACGATAGCGGGGTGATAGCGGAGCGATTCTGCGTTCGTTTAATTTATTCGACCATCGGCGAACGTTTGTATTTTTTTTCTACGTCCACATGTGTGCGTATCGCGCGCTCCAATACGACGCTATTAGAGGCGCGAGCGATACCGCTGCTAATTCACGAGGACGAACGTGCGTATCCGATCTATCGGCCGAGTGAAAGCAACCCCCGAAAGCGATCTCTTGTTTCTGATACGCGTGTCCGAACGCTACGACTGCCTATACGTAAATTATTTGTACAGTACATTGTATACCGCATACATATTCGCGCGATGTAAGTATAAAGCATGCGCAACACGCTTTCTCTCAGCGAGACGTCGATGTTATTCGCGGTGTAATCGATTAACGCCAGTTTGATGTGTGTATCCGAAGTCGACGAAAAACACGATCTCGTCGATAAACGAGATGAACACTCGAAGCGGCGATATCAACGAGCGCTACGCTTAATTAAGAGTACCGATCCCGAGAATGAGCCGTCGGAGAGGCGCAATCCCGTGAAAATTACTCGTCGCTTTGCGTTACTCATAGCAACACGCTTTTCTATTCCCGACGTTTTACCGAAGCAAGTAACTCTGGAAATAAACGACTAGCGAATTATTACGGATTACGATCGCAATTTGATCTCCACACAAAATATGACGTATGCATTCCTTTAGAAAGAAAAAAAGAAAGAAAAGATTTCTTTACTTATCAACCGTGGGAAGGAACGCATATATTTTATGCGATACTTAGCTGAGGTTTGTAAAGAGAGATTGATGCGTATAAATATTCACGTGTTCAACATCGCAAGGCTATTAATAGGTTTTGAATAGGCAATAAGTAAATAGAGTATCACGCAAGCAAACACATGTACACGCAAGCCGGCTAGCTAGAAACGACAACCAGGAAACAAGGAACAAAGACTTCTCTAACGTCACTGTATTCTATGTGCCTTCTTCCGCTTTCGATGGAGCCAATAACTAGGTGTAACTATTAATATACTTACGAGAGTGCTATGACCAGAAACAAGTTCGCATGATATCTCTTTCACTCTTAGATACGACCGTTGCGATTTGTATTTCTGTTACGGATACGAGTACAGACATGGACGAGCCTAAGTCAAAGCCCGACCTCATGTACTTGCGTTTGTACTTACGTTTTGTACGTGAAAAAATCATGGTACGGTCACGAGAGTATTCTAATGGACGTACAAGGTGTCTAGTAATTTCTGGCATACCGCTGGTGCGCAGATAGAATGAATAAACTGTGCAGACCAATTTCTTCACCATTTTGCAACTACGTAAAATTAGATTAGGTTACTCTGAACAAAAAGTCTCGTACCATTTTGCAAATAACAAATTTCTGAAATATGAATTAAAGAACCCTCCATACATGGCCATTTCCGGTAATTAATAACTCGAATTTCACGTGACTTGTTCGCAAAATGGTACAGTACTTTTCTGCTCAGTTTAACCCGTTCTATCCATAAGCGACGTGCTAAAAATTACCGAACACCCTGTATATAAAATATTTATATAAATATCATTCATACGCAATTCATACAATTATTATTTCCTTGGAACTAATGAAACGACCGTGTGGCGAATGACCGGATTAATCAACGAAAGTATTATCAAAATGATTTTTAAAAGATATATTGATTACGAGGGAACAATAAAGTGATCAGTCGTTGATAGAGGATATGAACATCTAACGAGCGATTGTGTATGTATATGGTCGATTCATTGCACGTTTTGAACAGGAGAGAGAGAGAGAGAGAAAAAGAGAGAGGCGTGGAAGGAGGGAGGAGAGAGAATAAGAAATTCTCTTTATGTCTGTGAAATTACGAAAGTAGGATATACATAAATCCCATGGTATATTTGTCAACGCGTGACTTTAAATTGAACATTCCTGTGAAGCATGTGTGTGTTTATGCGGATTGTACATGACATCTCGTCTTTTTTGCTTCTTTTTTTTTTTAATAAAGTTTCTCCATGTACAAATTGCTGCGATTTATCCTCTTTCACTTCGCACATTCGAATTATTTCCCACGACGAGAGTAATTAATATATTCGCGTGAAAATTGCTCCCGCGATCCATTTGCAAAACGCTCGGTAAATGTCTCACGTTTGCGCGACTAGAAAATATGGAGAATGGGACATGAGGGAACTCTTTCGGACGCATTTTCCCCGCAATGAAATAATAGAGATGCGCGTGAGAGTGCGTCAAACCGAGAGAGGAGCTTTTTATCTCATCAAGAATGCTCCTTCTTTCATTCGTGATGGAAGTACGATGCGCACATTGTGGGACCATAATAAAATAATATCGCCGTACTTTGCGTGTCACGAGGCACTTCGTGCCGAGGGCATCTCTCTCGAGAGGCGCGCAAGTACGAAATGCCTCTCATACCTACCGCGGCCTTATAATACCACCCATGCAAATTAATCTACCGCGAGGAACATTTCTCGACCTTGACGAAACGCGAATACTGATTCTGATTTTCCATAAATCGAAATTACATGGTGTCCGATGGAAAGTTTCGGCACGGAAACAGCGAGTTATCCCGTCCAGATAAAAACAACCTAACAAAAGATCTAACAAAACACAAACAAACCTTATCAATAATTTAACAAAGATAAGAAAATAGACTATGTAGATGAAAAGATATCAAAACACATACGATAACAAATATTTTAAATAGATTAAATAGATCAATTTGCTTTATATATTATTTATATTATTATATTCTGATCACATATCGTAATAATGTGTTATTATAATTCGCGCTCAATTCCTCAAATTATACACGAAATGATGATCGTTTCCGACAACTACATAGTCTATTTTCCGATCGTGCCGTATTGAATATTGAAAAAATTAAAAAACTGATCAAATTAACCGAGATTGTCTGGGATATAAAAAATATATGAAGAGAAAAATGCATATGAAAAATGGCGTTTCTTATTTACGCATCGATATATCGCGCAAAGCACCTGCGGATCGATACGATTTAGTGGGAAGTCTTAGAACGTAAACACACGTGACTACATAATGGAAGCTTTTAGTCGAGACTATCGGTCATTCTACCGCGTGTTACGTGACAGGACGGCCAACGGGCGAGTGACACGAGGATCGGAATACGACCACAAAAGAATCGTACGTCACGGTGAACGAAAAGAAAGTTATCGAGGAAGCTCCCGCGATATGCAAATACGTAAAAATAAAAAGTACATCCTTTCGTCTCGTTATTAAATCATTATTGGAAAATAGCGACCTGATATCTATTTGTTACGCGCCGTTTACGTTGCGTTTACGTGCAATGATAAGTTACACGTGTGCGAGAAACGTTACAGTTGTCCTTTTTTTTTACGTAACCGTGAGATACAACGTGCCGGAAAAATAACCTGGGAAAGTGGATCGTATTTATCGCGTCATCCTGACACTGTGCGCGCACTTCCCTTTGGATATATCCAATCGGGACGAAATTGATCGCGAACGTTGAACGAAATACCAATCCTGCGAAACGTCGAGAATTTACGGTAAAAATTCTACCGAGACGAGACGAGACGACGCGATAGGAATTCTACCTTCGTTCTTATGCGAGGAAGAACGTTGACGAATGTTGATGGCGGTCGAGCGATCGAATAAAGCGAGAAGACTAAACGATAACACATGTCGGCTTCGGTGGAGACGAACGGAGCCTGATGAAAATTCATAGATGCAATTCCCCGTATGGCACGTGTTACGACAAACATGAAGACACTTAATGAAAAGGTGTTTTTTTCTCTTTTCGACGTAGACTCGTATACATTATTTGCAAACAATTAATTTCGTGAACTAATGAAACGGCGTTAGTCTCTATTCCGGCGAGCGACGTGCGATCGATAGCTTTCGATTAAACAACGAATCGCTGTCGTGAGGGTAATACGGTAATGCTGTTTTCCCTGCTGTTGCAAATGAACAGCGGCACGAAGAGCGCTCATGGGACTTAAATGAAACGTAACTCGATAATTATATCTCGAAACTAAGATTAATAAAAATATGTAATTGGATTTTATGATATATATAGTAACTATTAATATAAATAAGTTAATATTATTATTATATGTAATAAATATTGTTTTACTATTGCTCTTTCCTTATTATTACATTTCTCATTTTAGTGTCATTTATTTGAAGACACAATACTTTTGTGGTGAAAATATTATATTATTTTTTATTTCCGTTCAACATACACACACACACACACACACACACACACATCATTAATTCGTTTTTCACATTTTGTAAGATATAAAAATATTCTTTGAATCTTTTACGATAAACTGTATTTCTCCTCCTCTGTATCGCGTTCGTCACAACATATATTTCGTACACTCGATCAAGCTCGATCAAGTTCATAGCTCCCTTAAAGAAATAACGCGGAAAAAAGCAAAACGAATATTACACAGGCAATTTGGTCGGTTAACCTTTGACGAAATATCACTATGATCATTCGAGTGGGAAATAGTTTGAAAGAAACCAACATACCTGTTGCTGTTTTCGAGAGAGATATTCGTATATTTCACAAAATGTATCTCTTCATGTTAGAGAAACGACAGTGAGAATAGATTGCGGAAACTTGACGCTCCAACATTGCGCTCTCAAAATTCACATTACATCGTGATGTATTTTTTTATATCATTTTTATAAAAATAATGTATTATATATATTTAATGTATTATATATTTAATTTAGCGTATTATATTTAAGTAAGATCTTGTAAGATGTATGTGACTAGTTTGTGGAACTGTAAAATTATAGTTTAAAAAAGCCGGTTTTTCGATCCTTCAGAACCTACATTCATCTAACGCTTTGGAAGCGTCGGATTATTCAGCCGTGGGAAAAAATGCGCACGCGAAGAAGGCACGTGTCGACGTAAGATGGCCCGAAAGATTTGTATCGGCTTAAATAGCTCCGCGAACTGTTTCTGAAATGAGCGACCTTACCTTGAACAAGGCGTGCAGAGGACACGCGTGCAATCGATAAGCATGTACTATCTTTTTCTGAGCACATGGATCAATGGAGACGACTTAGAGGCGCGTTCTCGCTCTAGAGTGCCGCACGGGTTATCAAATCGATCCGTTTTACAATCCCTCCGAAATATACAGCGATACGTGCGAAACGAAATAGTCGACAGTTTCTATTTGAGAAACTAACGAGAGAGAGAATGGCTGCATCATTGTCAAGGTTCCTATATTATTCCTTCTCTCTAATTGTAATTCTCACATATCTATTGATTTTTTAACGAGTACTTGACGGTAAAGCAGAACGTCTCGACGTCTTGGATGCGGGGTCACCATTTGTTGATAAGGTTAACATTCATCCACCATAATATCCATACACAAATTAATGCACACTTCTTAAGTGCTACATTCCATTTTCGATGATAATTAAAAATACACTCCATCCTTTGAACGTATCCATCGGAGACAGAAATTCTCATCGATGGCATAAAGATAAGTGAAATACGATCGAGGAATTAACGTTCGATGCTATTTTTCTTCTCTTGTCAAAGAAAATCCTTTTGATACTTTCGAATTCGATGAAATCTTGCATTAATAGTCTTCTTTTTTAATTTGATGTTACTAATTTTCAATTACTAAAAGTTTTACTGGACAGCTTCGATACTACAGACGCAGTTTTTCGAATTTTCTTCAAATGTGATTTGGAATCCGGTTTTAATTTTTTAGTAATATAATTTATCGAATGGAAAAGATTTATTGTTTGTTGGTAAATAGTGACGAAAACTTTTCCGACCCACGTTACTAAAGAATAAAAAACTCGTCATTGAGCTGTACTATTCGAAAATGAAATCCTTCTGATCTGCCGTTGAGCCGTACTCGTACTGCCGTATCTACCGCAGATTCAAACCTGATGGACGGGTCTTTTCGCGACACCGCTTGATGGCGGTAATCTGTTAATTGCGACGAAACGGATCTAACAGATTGGATATTACTCCAAACTGTAATTGCAAAATTTTCACTAAAACCCAAATCGAACTATTAGTCTTATATTAATCTTGCAAATATTATCTTATTTAAAGGATTAATAAAAAATATAGAGAGGTGACACTACGTATATAAATTATTGTCCTATCTTGATGCCGCAAATAATACATATTGTTGTTTTTTTCATATTAAAGCTCCATGAAGAAACACTTATTCCAAAATTATTTAATATCCAATCATCACAATATTCTATCTGTATTTAATCTTTATTTTTAATTTCAATAAATAATGCATTAACTATATAATTTATTCAACCGCAAATGGAATATGTGCGATCACCAAATATTAAATAATATGGATAAATAATAAGTCCAATGGATATATAAGTTTCTGTTTTCATAAGCCGGTACTCGTAGTTATAAATTATTTATAATAAAGGCCAATAGTACGACTCAATGGCAATGATCAATCATGTTTATTTTCAAATAGTACCACTCTAAGACGGATTAAAGACTTTTCACTAGCAAATAATGTGGTCTCGAAAGTAGGAGTCTCTCTTAATCTTTTTTTCGACAGTATAGATTTATAAAAATGCCACAAAATATCATTAAACAAAGATAATTTAATAAATATTATCAATATTTATGAAAGGATCGAATCCTCAATCGACTATGCGAACGCTAATTCCAATATCGCCCACCTCTAATCGGCGCGCATGCAAAGCCACTTACCTTGAGCTGTTCCTGACGGCGATATGCATGCAACATCAATTGTTTCCGCTCATCTTCCGACATTAACGGCTCCCTCGCCGGTCTACCGGATCCTCTCTTCTGCAGCTTCACTATTACCTTGGTCTTCTCGTTATTACCCAGGAAATCCTTCATCTTCATCCCCAATATTAGTTCCTTGCCGCAAAACCACAGTTGAGCTAATTTCTCATCGATTACCTGCGACAAGCGAATGTCTTCTCAAGCGTCAGCAAAGGTGTCGTCAATCTGCCCGATTTGCGTAATATCTTCGCGAATAACACAAGCATTTACAAGAAGCCATTTAGTTCTCTTTCACTTTTATTGGTTTCTCTCTTACTTTTAATTTCTTCAATGTTTAAATATTATGAAACAAAGGATTAATATTCCCTTCAAACCTCTGCGGAACATTTTTCAGATGTTTAAAAAATGTTCAACGGATTGGAAAACCTTCACATCTTTGAATGTTTGAATCGTTCTTATTTGCATTTTTTAAATATAATATTCTCGTGAATAGCACAAACATTTAAAAGAAGGTATTTGGTTGCCTTCCTAATTTCTTTACTTGTTTCTTTTATTCTCAACTTTTTCAACGATTAAATATTTTGGAACGAAAGATTAATATTCTCTTCGAACGTCTGCAGAACATTCTCCAGACGCTTGAAAAGTGTTGGATCAGAATACCTTTGCAAACTTTTATAACATCTTTAAGTAGTTTATTTGCGCTTTTTAAATGTAAGCTCAATTTTAAATCTGAAAACACCGTGTATACCTCGAGAGATGCCTGAGTGCCGGAAAGATCCTCAATATTCTCGAATTCCTGACGTATTACGTCATGCGGCGGAAGTCCCATCGGATAAACAATCGTCACAGCGCCTTTTAATATGTCCAGAGCTTCTTGGACTGTCTTTTGTGTGACCAGTTTCTCTTGCTGCACTAATTTCTGCAGACAAGTAAAATAGTGTGGAAAAACGTATGAACTGAGATTTTCGCTGTTGAAAGAAAGAAGAAGAATATAAAACTTAACGGACTGATTTGCACTTACTTTTGATGTCATGGCACGTGCGTCCTCGATGGTTTTCTTCAGAACTTCCTGCATCTTCTCATTGGGCTGCCTGCCGTTTCTACGACCTGTGGATGTTTAAATTTATTGCTGAAGACCTGATTCTCCTCATACGTCATGTTGACAAAATTTCGCATATATATATATATATATATATATATATATATATAGAGAAATTTTATATAGTTCCACTAAAAATATATTCATATTATTCAAGAATAATTTTATGAAAGAAAAATTATCGGATAAGAACGATATCGTCGAATAAAAAATTGTGTTAACTTGAAGATATCGTTCTTTCTATCCAATTTCCTCTCGATTCACGAAAATTACTCTTGAATAATATGATATTTTTAATAACAATAATGTGATATTTTTAGTGGGACTTTTATCTTGATAAGATTCATATATTCTTGCTTAAGAGAATATGAGTCTTGAATTGATATTCATTTTTTTCCGTTTAACCATGTACACTTCCCTTACCGATCTGGTCTTTGTTAAAAGTCCAGCCGCCCATGGGCACGCACTTGTCAGCCCATTCGTCCTTGAGCTTGAGCTCCTGGACCTGTTCGTCCGTGAGACCCATGATGTTAGGGGGTAGCATCGGGCCGTGCTTAGCCAGCTCCTCGATCTCTATTTTTCGCACAGAGAAGAGAAACGCTCATGTGAGAGGAGAGAGAATGGGTGAAACGAGAGAGAGAGAGAGAGGGCGAGCACTGCTCTGGTCAAGAGCGTAAGTCCATATAATTATTATCCTGTGCGCGACGTGTGACTAATATCACGCGGCGCCGAGGATGGATGGGTTCATAAAGTCGGGACCTCGACTTCTTATTACACGCTGCTATTACGAGCCCGCGGCTGCGCCCCTGAAGAGAGATAATCGCTAATGGATTTCTCGCGTTGATATTCCAACTGCGAGAACTCCGGAACCTTTTAGAGCGCTTTATATTGTTAGTGAAAAGCAACGCAATTGGCATTGTTGTCCTCGCACGTGAGAGACGTTCGGTGTTAGTTTCTTATAAACGCGCATGCACGTGCGTATCCCATGGATATCCTATGTTTCGTGTACACGGATATATAAAGATACGCAAAGGTGTCGATCAAGATTGTACGCGCCGCAATAATTTCTCCTCTAGTTTGCGAGTATAACAAAATTATAACTGGTCCAGAAGTAATATTTTGTATACTATTAATAATATTCATAATTATGCATGGATTGTTTTACATAATATCGTGAGAAATATATGTAAGTTTGATTATTTTATAATAAATATATAATATTAATTTTGTTTTTCTATATTATTTTATATACTTTGTATAAATATATTTTTCCCTCAATATCTTTATATGATAGTTAGTAAAATTATTCCTATATTTCCTGTTGTTAAAGCTTCTGTTATTAAAGCCCGTATATAGATGATAAGGCCTCTATAGAAACGTGTTATCTACACATAGATAACATTGCAGTTTAAGGGTTAAATTCTACGTTGAAAGGCGAGCTTGTCAATCATCTCTTCTGGATTCTTTTTAACATATACTTAAAAATATTATTACATACGACTCCTCTCCCCTTTCGAGAAATGTTACGACTGACGTAATCTTAAGCGCCAAGCGCCTACTCGGTCTCGCTTTGTGCGACATTTTCGAATAACCTCGTGAAACACCGGCTACTTTCGCGCAAAGGCGTCATTTACCGTAACAGATCCTTGAAATCTTCAGACGACCGTTGTAGATCACCACAATGTCACGTATGACGTCGTCCACCTTCGCCTCTGCGTGCGTGTCGTGCAGAAATTGGCTCTCCTCGCCCTTCTTCACGTGCAGTCTCACCATTTCGTAGAGATCCTTGACAGAGACTTCCAACTGGAATAGAGATTTCCGCTCTGTCGCCGCTGATGCGCCGAGTCGCGAAATATCACCGTTATCTCGTGGTATTCGAACGCGATTCGATTATGAGAGTCCGAGAGAGTGCAAGTTTCGTCAAGTGCATCGACAGTCACGAGGTGCTGCCGGACGTCCGTCGTGTGTGTTCACCTGATAAAAACAACCTGAACGTCGGGACGCATCGTCCGTGGTAACGCGCTCGTTATCGATTAAACAACGCGAAAACACGGCTGGTCGTCAACATGTTCTGTGAGAGGCAGGTGTGAGGGTGGCTGAAATGAAAAGTTCACATCGCAGATAAAGCCGATGAAACAAGAACGAGCGAGAGAAGTAAGCACCGATTAAGGGGAGGGAGCGACGGGAACGAAAGGATAAGAGAAAATGCAGACGTGGTTTAGTGAGTATATATATAACACTGTTGTTCATTATTATATAATATACATATTTACACTCTAATGGAACACGGATTACAAGAATAAAGACGTTCATATGTCGTTACAAATATGAGGAAACGTCGACGACACTCTCATCGCGTCTCTACTAGCGTTTTGGACACAAAAATATGATATTTGCGTGTGTATGTGTGTATGTGTGTTTATCTGTGCGTGATTTCTTAACGACGATATACATATATATATATGTATATATGTATATCGTCGTTAAGAAATCATATATATATATATATATATAGTAGTAGTATTGATCAAAATAATATTTTAAATATCCTCGACGCAACGACGCTCTGTCGAAATAAGAATAAAAATCTATGGTAAATCTTATACCATCGTAATCGACGTCTCTCTTCTCCGCTAATGTAAGTGTGACTAGTATTACGTTAAAATACACTTAGAATTCGATTCGATGAGGTGCATCATGCGCAGGTTACTTCCAGTTCTGGGGTCCGAGCGAAGGTGGTCCCTATGATAATTGTTGCACACACGAACACGCCGAGCGGTGTTTTAGAAACGCGCGCGTCCCAAATGCGCGATCGGTCGGCCCGCGCGGCGGCGATGATTCCGAAACGGACAACAGCGAAAACAGAGTCGGTTGTTTGCTTGTTTCCTTTTTTTTCTCTGTCTTCTATTGCATTACGACAATTGTTATCTTAACACCGACACGAGTAACAGTGACGATTGCTTTGCGCCGAGTGGACTTGGCCGCCTCTCGCACGATGGAACAACGAGATTTTAGAAACTTACGCTTTACTCAAAATCCTTTCGCATTGCTCGCGCGGCGGCGCTCGGCCGCGGCGATACATCTATGACAATTAAAAGCAGAGTTGCACAAAGGCACCGCTTCATTTCATTATTACAAATCGCGCGCTTTCGTTCCCTCCACGCGCGGAACGAGTTCTTCTTCACGTTGAAAAGTATAATCTTTCGAAAATGAAAGAGCGCACAGGAAAGGAAACAAACGCAGCAACGATCGAGTCGAAGGGACCGAACGAAAGATATTCGGATCCGGAGATTGTACGAGGGAGAAAATAAGGAACGACGTGACATTTTCTATCTCTCGAAAAATTACGGCCGCAAGTTATTTTCGCTTCTTTACGCATCATTATTGCGTGTTTTTTTTTTTTCACAGTAATTCGAAAGGCGAAGCAGCGCTTCGCGCAATTACCGCCAGTGAACCGGCGCGCGGCTCCCTCTTTTATAGCGCGCAACGAACGTGCGCGCGCGCTTATAAAAGCACGCTTATAAATAGACACACGTGTACATGCGTGTACGTACGTGACATTTATATATTCGCCCGTCTACGTGCAACATTTATGAAGGAGGAGGATGATCCCTCGACCGACGAATGTATCAACTACCTTAACGTGTTACGGCTATATACCACAGAAAAATTGACATTTTTTGGTCCGAATGAAACATGCGTGATGCGTGTATTTTGAATATGTGTGTGGCTTCGACACGGTTCGGACACTTTTTCTATGCCGATGTAATTTGTTACGCAGCTGATAATCCGACGAAAGAACTCAAACTTCGAGGAATCGATTGAAAATAAGTTTCCACGTTGCATTATCTCGGCTGCGCTCCGCAAAAAAGTGTTCAAACTATTTTGAAACCGACTGAACGTGTGTGTATGTGTGTGTGTGTGTTCAGACAGTTCCGTATCTAGGCTACACGTTTAGGCGCTGAACGGGAACATTTAACGGTCAACATCTTTGTTACGTATCTTAAAGAACGCGCGTCGGTCGCCGGACACCGTCAGTTCAGAGACGCGGCTTCGCTGTTCACGGCAGAAAAAAATAAAACGGTTCCAACTGCAATCGGCGAGTGGCGTTCTGTGATTTTAATCCGCACAATTTGCGCAACGGGATTTCACGACGATAAAAACTCGTATCCTCGAATTCACTTATCCTTTTTTTTTCGCATTTTAAAACACCGCCGGCGATGTGGTATGAAAAAATATTTGACGGTCGGTGGAAAACGAAAAAATTGGATCGAGTTTAAATAACGAAAACCCGATACGTCAAAAGAATATATGTGAAATGTGAAAAAAAAAAGAAGATAAAGTTCGACTGGCCGCGTTACGATGTTATTCTAATGAAACTCTCGAAACGACGACCGCTCGTGCATCGATCAGGAACTCTCGACGCGTAAATTTCAGAAATAATTCAATAATATCACCATCATCATCGTCATCTCGTTGTCGTCGTCTCTTATCTCGTGTTCCTCTATCGTATGTTTCATCGTAGACACGAGCTCGCTATGGTACTGAAATAAAACTCACGAAGCCGCTGTCTTCGCGGAAAACACGCATAGCCATCGAAAACACCGAATGACATCTATTAGATAGGATTGCGATCGGGAAGGCGCTCCCATCATCGGCCGCTCGTCGACTTATGACGATCCGATCTCAATCAGAAATCGAGCGCAGCCGAGACGCGAATTCGTGCGGACGATCGCAATTCGGGCGGAGAGCTGGGGATGAGCCGATAAAATTTTCATAATCTCTCGAACAACAACAACGACATTGGAACACGGACTGCAAAAATAACCGGGTTGTCCTTTGAATCCTGAAAACGGCCGACTTATCGAGATGCGCGATCGAGCCACCCTCGTTACTATCGAATTTGCCGTGATCGTCCTATTTTCTTTCTCTCTTTGTCTCCTTCGCTGCATCCTGCTTCGCGACTTTCATGACAAACGGACGGCAAGATCTTTGGACAGTAAACGTCACACGGGGGATTCTTCTACCGCTACAATAAGATCGAGAGGGAGGGGGAATGCTTATCTCGAGAGTTCAGAACCGGTTGCTGAACGAAGCTAAACTACGACATCGATGGATTTTGGTACTGATCGCGCGACCGATCGAGATTATTCCTCGTCGATAGTAGGCTGGACCTGTAGCGTGTCCATTAGGATCCTGCGCTCGTGTTGGTGCTGCTGCTGACCGTCGGGATCCTGGGCTGAGTAGGAGCAGGAAGGACCGTGCAACGGCTCGCATTGCACGGTGGCCTCCTCTCAAACTTTGCTCTCCGGCCCGTCGGTGGTGTGCTTGAAGGAGTTGCGGATTTTGCTCAGGTGAAGAGCGGCGATGTGCCCGTAGCTCTTGTTGTACCATTCAGGCGTGCGACCTCTGAAAGCGGATTAACATACCAGCAGGAGTTAGATTTTCGTCCGATTGACACTAAATCCCCACGACCGCGAGTTAACTTCGAAGTCAAGTCGGGGACTAGTCTTGCAATAATAATTTCGAGAATAATAATTCAAGGAGCGCGCGTCGCTCGGGAAGAGGATATATGACGTTTACTCACTTCGTGTCGACTCTGGATAAATGCATAATGCGGGATTTGCCGCTGCCGCACGGCTCGATAAGATAACGAGAAGCCAAAACGATGCCGCGGGTCCCGCCGAGCATAACAGGAGCGTCCGGGTGTTCCACGGATGTTTCGACGATGACGCAAGCACCTTTGGGAAGGTCGTTCCGCCAGGATCTACACAAAGACCGATTGTATTACTTAAAGACACAAGGAAGTTAATATATAGAGTGTTACGAAAAGATGTCAAAGAAATTTAAGAGAAGATTTCCCAAGTCAAAGCACGTTACTATAACATGTGTCCGGAAATACTCAGTTTCCGAAATATGAGAAGTGCGACTGAAAAAGTACCTTTCGTGAATTAAATGATAACCGTTGTGCATTAAAATGTGGATTTTTAAAGATGTCCAGTATTAGTAGAAGATTGTATTCTGGGGTAATTTTCATCTCAAGAAAAATTGTTGGGGATTGAAAAGTAAAGGGTAGCTACCCTTATCTTGTCAGCTCACCTTACTACACAATAATCTCTCGCGGGCAGCGGGCTCATGTTCCCGGTGGCGTATTGGAAGACCTCCACATTGGTGTCCAGCTTGTTCACCAGTCTGTACTTTAGAAGCTGCGGGTCCCAGATATGCCTCTCCCTCAGCACACGATGCAGCAGCTCGTTCGGCGGGGCCTCGACCTCCGTCGACACCCGCCAGAGACGGAGCGGATGTCCGTCGCCCACCTTCTTGTACGCCATTTCTACGGTACTGTCGGCGGGATTGTTCACCGTGACCCAGCCGCGACTTCTGCTGGAACAGATCGCAGTCTTCACTTAGCGTATCCTGCTCATCCTGGTTTCGTCCTGGTTTCACCGATCTCGCGCCTGCTACACGCTCTTTGCGGCTCATTCTCGAATTTCACACTCGCTCTATTTACCCCCTAACAACACACCCTAGATCCCGAATGAAACCTCTATCCGTCCATCCGTGCGATCGTTCTCGGGTAATCACGAGCAAACAGACAGACACGATGACACGACGGGGTACTCACTTTTCTCGCGCTTCCTTCAGCAACGCCGTGGTGCAAGCGTACAGGTAGCCCCTCCAATCCTGCTTGAGTTCCGAGCCGAGCTCTTCCAGCGCGACCGGAATGCTCTCTTCCATGTAATTGAAGTGACACTGCGTCAACATGTCCGACGAGACCTGGAAGAACCGGAAGGAACGTGAGTGAGCCCTCCCGCGTGTGAAAACTCGATTCCGGGGGCCCGCGCGCGAGGTTCGATCGCGATCGAATGACGTCGGCTTCGCTCACCATGAATAATTCACGATGCATCTTGACCAGATACAGAAGACAGTCGTGAGCGGCTTTGTTTTCAGACAGTTCCCGCTGATCGGGAATGCCGACGGTCTTTCGCCTACGTGGCGACACGCTGCTCGACCTGTTGGTCACGCTCGTGTTGCTGTGGTTGAAATGGAACAGGCTCGGCGCAAGGCACACCGCCAGATTCGAGGCTGTCATTTGGTTGTAGGGCGAATTGTTGGCGACGTGGTTGAGGAAGTCGAGCAGCGTCTCCAGCGCCTCGCGATGCTCGTCCGGCAGCAACAGCAGGACGCACTGCACCGCGTCGGGTCGTAAGTCTGCCGGTACATCTGCGAGAGCAATGGGTTCATTCGAAGGATCACGTCTCTCGCACAGAGAAGAAGGAACAATTCCATTTTTGCGAATTTGCCGATTCTTGCTGGCCGACCGGACGGAACGACTCGGTCGGGGAAAAAAGATCGGTCGAATTAACGTAACAATGAATGAAGCAAAAAGCGTTTTCGTTGAAGGGAACGATATTTCCGGTTCTAAGAACAAAGTTTGATTCGTGAAAGACAGAAATTCTAATCTAATTTCGATCAAAACGCATTTCGGTGCGTTCACCAATCCTTTTTTTCTCCGTGTAAGAACAGAAAGATTCTTGTAGGAAGTTTCTAATCAATTGCTCTCAATTGTCTCAGCCGAGTCTCAATGCAGCTGAATGTTCACACAAGCGTTCCCAGTCACGGCAACGAAGACGTGTCACTTTTCATCGATAAGTTTTTATTTCTTATCAACGAGTTTTCGTCCGACCTTTATTCAGTTACGGTAGCTAAATTGTTTCTCCACGCAGTGAGGAACTTATGACGGTACTCACGTTGAAAGATGGCGATGAACGTTTCCGAGAGCTTGTTCGTCAGAAGGGCCTCCGGCAGTTCCCTGAAATACTGCTTGACCAGATCGGCGACGTCGAACGCCTGCTGCCCGTCGAAATTGATGTTGTCGCCCTGAGTCTCCGTCATGACCTTGAGCTTTTGTATTCTCGACTTGACGCCGCTCTTGCGGAAGATGCCCACCTGGTCGAGCGCGTTCGCTCGCAGCCACCTCAGGGCGATCTGAATGCATTTGGGCAGAGCTTGGCCGGTCCTCTGCAGGGACAGCAACAACGGCACTCCGAACACCGTCTTGTCCTTGTAATCGGGCGTCTTGATCTTCCTGATGAACTTGGGCAGCTCCCAGTTCCAACCGGTGCGGTGGGTCGGGCAGTACCGTTCCATGCAAGCCGTGAGTTTCAGCAACGCCAGCTTCCTCAGGACCAGCAGTTGTCCGCACGACATGGAGGCCATCGCTCTCGGACACAGCGGGTCCAAGGGTTCGGGGTACAGCGATCCTCTCTGAAAGCTGTGCCACCTGACGACGGTGCCCTTGTGCCGGGGCGACTCCTCCTCCTGATCGGAGTCCCTGCTGGCCACGGTGGAGCCGCTCTCCTGGCTGCCGGCTAATTCCGAGCTCCTGGACCGGGACTTCTCCCGATACGCCATCACCTCCCTGGACGCGGGCTTGCCGTCCCTGTAGGAGTCGTCGCGATGTCGGAAGCTCTTGTGCAGCTTTTCCTCCCGCTTCAACGACGCCACCTTGTCCTCCTTGTAACTTCGCTCTTGGCCCTGGGCGAGCTTGTCGCGATACCTCTGCGATTCCTTGCCGAGGTTCAGGCTGCCACCGCGCGTGCTGATCGGCGGATTCTTCCCGGGCGACTCCTTAGGGCTCTGTGGATGCGCGTTCACGTACTCCAGCACCTTCGCGTGGTTGCTGTTGGCGTCGCGGAAGTACCGGTGCCGCCAGTTGGTCGGCTGACACTCGGAGTCGCTCAGGGCGCCTTGGTCCTCGCGGCCCCGATGGAGGAACCTCCGCGCACGGTTCAGCTTCGTGCGAGTCGGCGCGGGCGTCGGTCCGCCGCCCTGCGAGCCGTCCGAACAGTAGCTAGAGGAGTCGTCGCCGAAGGGGCTGGGCGTCAACGGCAGGTGGTAAGGAGACGCCGGCAAGGTGACCGGGGAGCCGGGAACCGGGAGGGACGAGCCCGACAGGAGGTCGGCGAAGGACACCGGCGCCGGCCCCGTCGGTGACACGTCCACGCAGTTGAGCTCCTTCATCTTCTGCTGCATGGACATCACGTCGAGCACCTGCGGCCCGCTGATCACGACCCCGTCGCGATTCTGACGCTTCCGTCGGCGCGACTTGAGCGACTCGACGCGCCTGAGGAAGGCCTTCGCGCCGTCCCGCAGCCTCTCCGAGCCGGTCCTGCGGAAGCGCGGGCCGATCTCGTCGGGAAGGGTGCCCGGCGGCAAACTGCCGTACCGGAGGTTCTCCAGCATGGTGTCCTCCGCCTCCTCCGCCTCCAGACGGTCCTCCAGGGAGTCCTCCTCGGACGCGGCGTTCTGCCCGGCGATCGCCTGCAGCCTCTCGACGTTCGCCTGTGTGACGTCGACTATGCGCGACCAACGCCTCGTCTTCTTCTCGAAGGTCCAGTTCTCGCTCAGCGCGCACTGCGTGTCCTCGTCGGAATCGTCGCCGCCGCCGCCACCGCCGCCCCCGCCGCTCTGCTGGATAATCAGAGGGTAAACGTTACTCGGCTTCCTGGCGAATCTCGATGCGAGAACTCCTTTTTCACCGCCAATATATCGCCGAAACACGAGGGAAGGGGAAGAATTTATCTGATAGAAATTGATGCCGATGATCGTCGCTTCGAATACTTTCCGTAAGCGCAAACTTTTCTGATCTTCATCTAGTTGTTAATAAAATATGTCTATTATTCGACGGTATTCAAGATGACGATGGTTACTGCCTCGCACTGTGTAATAATTATCCGCAATTGATCGATAATTACCTGACAGCTAGCCGATTAAAAGTAAATATCACAACAAGACGAATCTCGAACGTTTTATCGTACCGAGGTGATTAAGCATCGTCGCGTCTAATCGCGTTTTCTGAATTTAAATGTTATCTCGCCTCCCAAAACTTACGACTCTCCCTCGCTATTACAGGCTTACACGCCGCTATTATACGCTCAACGACTCGTCTGATATGAACTGGCGCGATCAAACCGAGCCGGTGGCCGCCTAATTCATCCCGAGGAACACCAAGGCGGACACAAGCCCCGGCATTCAGACGCGGATCGCGCGCTTTTAACGCCGCGGTAAATTCCGCTTTATGGGAAACCCTCGCGCGTCCGACGATGCGCGTCGTAAAAAAAAAAAAAACAACAACGAGGGAAGAACAAAAAAAAGGGAGAATAATTTACTAGAACGATCTTTCTCGCGCATCGAGATGGCCAACGCTCTAAATGAGTTTACAGCCTTCGCGAGGACGAAACGAGCGGTATCTTCTCGCGGCGCGCTTCGTCCCTTCGTTTCTTTCTTCCTCGTTCGGCCGATTACGCGAGAGGCTCGATAATAATGAAACGACGCCGCTTCCCTCGACAAGATGTGGGCCATGCGGACGAAAATACGCGCGGCATTGCACGCGCGGAATATCAAGCGGGAGATAAGCGTGGGCGCGCGCCGGCGGAAAATAGATTTTCGGGGATTTCGGAGTGCATTTCGCGCGCGACGACGGTTGACCTGCGGCCGTGGGAGGACGGGCGAGAGGACCGGCTTTCGAAACCCTTCCGACGGAAATAAGATCCGGTCCGGATGACGTCCGACGACGACGACCTCGGTGACAAACGTCGGGTCTTTTGATGAGACCCGCAAGAGCAAGGTTCACGTCGCCGTCGGTGCTGGCCGCGTGCGAAATTGCAAAACTATTTTCGCACTGTTAATTATCCCTTCCGCTGACGCTGTTAGCGTATAAATAAGACGTTTTCTCCGAAACGCGAGTACGAAGCGTTCTTAGGGATACTACGCGGGTCGACGAGCGTGCGAATGACATCGATCATTCGAGAGATGTCAAGATACAGACGTCACTTTCTCTCTCTCTCTTTCTCTCTATTATTTTATATTAATAAATTGATTTTATATCATTAAAATATATTTATTTTATTCGTATTATTATATATTACAAAGGATGTCCCAGCATAAGAAGAACACCTAAATATCTTGCAAGTCTAAATATGAGGACCTTAAAAATGGAGAAAAATGACCGTAAAAAAATGTTCTTTCCTTCCACAGTATTCCTCCTTGGAAATCATTCAAATGTGCTTCAAACACTTCTCATATCTTTAAAAACATAGGAGACATTTAGGTATTCTCCTTATGCTGGAACATCCTGTATATTTATTATTTTCATTAAAATTATACTTTTTTATTTAGGAATGCTTTTTAAGCGCCAAAAGAGAAAGAGGACGGAAAAGCGCATCACCGTTGGACATTTCCGTCGGGGAAAATTCCTTTACCAATTCACTCTGCCGGCTTCCCTAAAAGCGTATCGCATGGATTCGTTATTTTGAAATGTAAATTCCGCCCGCGTCACAGAGGAGAGGATGAAGGAAGCGGGCCGGAGAAATGTGGCGCGGGGTCGCCGCGTGTGTGCGCGCCCGAGCTCTTAAAGAAATCGCTCGAGCTCCCACGCGAAAATCCTCGCTGCGTTTCTCGCTGATTTCGCGGGCGAGGGAAGCCGCGGAGAACGCGAAAGATTCGAAGCTCGTGATCCTCGCTTCCTGGACGGGGAGCGTGAGCGGTCCCCACCGGTTTGCCACCGTGCAAACCGTACGAGGTGTTGCGCGCGGTGAAACCAGGTCCATTGTCATGTAGCGAGGATCACGTGAGGTCGCACACATACACACAGACACACACACTCTCGCCGTCTCGGCTGACGTATGTGTGCCCGTGGCGTGGAAACAACAAAGGCGTCAAGTTTCGTAACGAGGAGCGATGTCGGTCCCATTGTTAGAAAGCCAACCGTCTTCGGCGCGCACGAAAAGACGCCCGTTTCGGCTTAGTCACCTTATGGGGGCTCGACGGGAAAGAGAGAGAGAGAGAGAGAGAGAGAGAGGGAGACCCATGGGAAGTCGCAGGGGTCACCGTGTCGTTTCTCTTTCCTCGCTGACGGAGCAACGAGGGTACGTAGCTCGCGATAGATAGGCCGATCAGAAAGACGGATAACGGCCCCGTACGAAAAGCTCTCGGGTGGACGTGAACGCCGACGAACGAGCCTTCCGGTGCCGATACACCAAGGAATTAATAAAGCTCCTCGTTTGCGTGACGCAGAGGACAGATTAATACCGGGGATCGCCGAGCAGTCGAGCAGGAAGCAGTCGAAGCGCGGGTTGTCAGTTCCCGATGAACGATCGAAATCCATTTAACTCTGTGAATCAATCATCTCCACGAATTCGCTGCCAATTGACTGGCAATGGAAATTAATTAAAAAGTTAAAAAATTAGCAGTTCGTATGTTCCGGTTTACGAATAGGTGTACCAAATCTTTTAAGCCTTGAGAAATTGACCAGTCGATTGTTCCCCTCACATTTGATTGTGATCGGGGACCGTAGTGCGACTGAAATCTAGCTCAATCTAGTCAATTTAGTTAATTCTTTTGTTCCCGGTCTCCAGCTCTCGAAAAACCAAGCCTGGTAACTGAATCTCAGTTGCATTATATGGACAGCTAATTCCTGTTTCCCGTGCAGTCACGTTCGCGAATCGGCCCCGAGTAACCTTCCGATCGCGCGCACACCGCCGGCGTAGAGGCAAGAATCACACGAATCAGCGCGCGCTGATTCAATTCGATTTTTCCGGCGGGAAACCAAGGCTGGACGTCCCCGACGTCTTTGATTCCTGGCTCCGTGTGTCACACACACACCTCCCCACTTTCTTTCTCTCCCTGTTCCGTCGGCATCATAGGTTGTACCACACCACCGTGACGCGGTGCGAAGGGCGAAACGGCGAGATGACCCTGCGCGCGCGCGCGGCGAAGGCTATGCATTTACGTCGCGGAGGATCGACGCAGCGATAGACACTCTCGGCATTCTCTCGGCCGAGAGGATGCACCTCTCGCAATGCATCGCGCATCGGTGCTTCTCTCCTTTCCTTTCCTTCCTTCTCTCTCTCTTTTTCCCGAGGTGCATAAGTTTCGCGCGCGATTACCGTCCGCACGGCACTTACGCCGCTCGTATGCACGTATCTGCGTTTCCGTTCCGGCGCGTTACTACGAGGGACGTGACGATACCCCCCATACGTGAGTTATTTCCGCGCGGCACTCAACGAGCCGTGTCGCCCCGGCGTGTATGCCCGACGTCACTTCCGTCTAAGCAGGTTGAACAAACCCCGCCGTTGTTTTTCACGAGGGTCCCTCAGAGCGGTGGACGCGCGAGGTAGCGAATATCCCGCGTGAGGGAACCCCTCGAGTTGCCGAGAGGAGACCCCGCCGTGTATCGCGCGCTAAACGACGGTCCGAATTTCTCGATGCAAAATCTCACTCGAAAAGCAGAGTGACTCGTCCAATCACGCGAGTTCCAGTGACTTCCCGCTCTCGTGCGAGCTAGATATTTTCCCTCGAAATTGAACAGCGAGTCTAACGTGTGCGATCAGTCTACAAAAAGATTGCTTTCCTCACCATGAGTTTCGCAATGTATCTTCTCTCTCTCTCTCTCTCTTTGTCCCTTATGCTATCATATTTTCGTTTTGTTCTGTAATTAGAGTTTTTGTCTCAGGAAAAAAAAAACGATTAACTAATAACTAAATGACGCGAAGTGCATAGGTACATGTTAATTGATGCAAATGTCTTTTATATACGCGACTAATGAGATATAATAAATTGATAAGACGACTCGGCGAAAAAACAAGCGCGACGGTGAGCTGCGCCACGAGAGAAGGAGATCGCGATGCCGGACGACGGCGAGCAAAAAGAGGTCGCGGCTACAAATTCAATGACGACCGGTTGATACGCCGCTAACCGCGGCGGAGAGCGCCAATGTTCGATGTCTGGCGAAAAGAAACGAGAAGCACACGGTACGGAGCCGTACGATTCTCGAGGGCTCGTTACTGAATCACGATTGTCAATGAAGAAATCCGCGGCGCAGCCGGGATCGCAGAGGCCGCTTACAATCGATGGAAATCCATGGAATGTCGGTTTCCTCCACTTCTTCTGCCGTCGTCGTCTCGCTCGCAGGACGACGCGGCGATAACATACTTTCGAGTCGAGAATTTTAACTCGCGGAATCGACAATGCTCGTAAGGAGCGCGGCCAGTTTTTGCTCGCGCAATTCGCTCGCGCGAGATCCGCGATCGAGTTTCTCGAAACGCAATAGCCGACGCAGGACACAGCCGTGGCGTACCAAAAAGGCGCGTAACAATAACAATTATTTATCCTCGGTAGAATTTGCGGACGATATGTATTTTCAGAAAATAACAATGCAACGCCGCTAAATTGAATTTTCTACATTCTCCATTGCGACTATCGTTAACCCTAGCTGGCCATACTTATTTTTGAATCGGTAATTCCACGTATTCCGGGGTCCGTTCGAGAGATCGCCTCGTCCTTTTCACCCTAATTAATATTTTCCAGCTCGTCACGTGAGAAATGGAAATGCAGAGTCTAAATAAAGTGTTTCTGATATCAGGTCAAGAAAATGATTTGGTTTAACTTTGAAGAATATGTGCATAAAATTT